CAGTGGTGAACAAAGTAGGCTAAACATCTTAATATGTCTTGTATTGATTGAAAATTCGCTAACAAACCTGTTAAAATTATTTTTTTTATTTTCTATAGAACTGTAGTAATTAAATGCCATTTACTAGCTGTTGAATAAAACGTCTTATTTACACTACTATATCAAAAGAACAAGCTTTACTGATTGAGACGGAGTTACCAGTATTTAAAATGTTGAACTTAAAAGTAGAATTGTCATTCTCAACAATCAGGTGAAGTTACGTACTTTTTGTTCAGAATATAGAGCGTGTGTTGGTGTTAACTATTCATTTTTGTATTTTACCTTGTTAAGAAGTGTGCTATTCTTTAATCAACTCAGAAAAATCAAATCCACTAATAGTCTATTATCTTTTTGTTGCTTGCCTTTTAGTAATAGGGCATGATCAAAAAGTGAGTAGTTCATTGTAAGACCTAACCGTACGTTTATCACATATCACAATAAGCTGAAGATGGTATAAGAGGAACAGTAGGCTAGTATACTTAGAGTAGCCTATCTAAATCAATTGTCTAAGTGTTGTTAAGCAATTAAGCTTTTGACCCAATTTTGCTTTGTCAGTTTAAGGAGAAAGCAGCGTTTCGAAACATGACTTGGCCATTTTCCAAAAATATAACAACATTTGGTGGACATAGTTCCTCAGTCAGTGAGTCAATCTGTTTGACTCAAGGCCATTTCCTGTAATTACTTACATTCCTTCATCAGATTGTACATTACTTATAATCATATAAGGTCTTATTCACTGCTTTGAAATAAATGTAAGGCATATAACGTCATGTTTGGTTAGGGAAACATTAGTCCACGGAGTTTTATAATAAAAGTAATCTATTTAGATTGAAAATGTACTTAATAAGACATTTTGTAAGTTATTTCATAAGAGGTGATCTAATAAATAATATAGATAATTTTTGTGAGTCTTTTGTCACACTTGGGTTAAACCTAATTTTCTTCTTAGGAAAAATAAGTCAATTCTTCTTCAAAATATTAGAAACATACAAAATAAACCAACCTAAGTGCACCCTGTGAGATTGGCAAGGCTTTCTTGAATTATTATGACGGAGTCATATTTTCTATCTCTACTGGTTGAGTTTACCATTGAGTTAATTACTATTGACTAAATGCATATTATTGGCCCCTTTTAAGTTAAGTAACTTAATTTCACAAAAGTCCAAAGACAGTTTAAATAGAAACGGTTTATAGTTCTGTCATTAAAATGTATTTTTATTTGCAACTTTGCAAAGGCTACTTTAGTTTTTAAAGTAATATTTTCATGCATGAATTGCTGAAGAAAAATATAAATGAAGTTGATTTAAAAGTAGTGGACTTAAGAAATGGCCTTCTGATAAGACATGTTTTATCAGTGCACTTCTGTTGTGGTTCTGATATCTCAGACCTGCTCTATGTGAAATATTTGACACTGCCTTATCAACTATAGATTATTACAGTAAGCATTACAGACTTGAAATGTTTAGATTAAAATACCCCCACTGCATCAAACCTGCAGACTAAGCGAATTTCCATTTACCAGGCTGGATTTCTTCTAAAACATTCCCTTAAAATTGTTAGATTTATCTCCTATTTCAATAACGTTAATTTTAATTAGTACTTAGATTTGCTGCTATAGGGAAGGCATTCAGGTGTTTTTTTAAAATTGAAATGTTGATAGCTTGGAAAGAAAATTCAGTTTAGAAGAACAGCTGTTCCCTCGATATTATCATAACATGATAGTTATAAAACTATGTCATAAATGTTACCCTTTCAATGATTGGATTTAATTTAATCTTAAATTAGATAGGTAACTAGGCCTGTACAGAGCCTGGGTTGATACAGCATCGGGTATAGGTAGAATAGTTTTTTGTATTTTTCATAATCAATGGTATAGTTTTAGAATAAAAAATCTATGACAAAGTTTTAGATTAAATAACCCTAAACTACCACATAGATGTGTAAAATATTATATTTTATTTTCATTTTTATTTTCATTTTTAAATTTCATGTTAATATTTTACGAGGTGAACCCGTGCGAATCCGCACGAATAATAAATTAGGATATTATTATAGCAATGTCGTTAGAAGTTGCGTCGTTGTATCGACGTTGGTCTTGACCTCGATCGTTGGCTATATGCATTTTAAGTTCTTTTTGCTGTTCAGTAGTGTAGTAGTTTGCAGGACGGAGCTGAAAACTTGCGCGTATGGATTAATATAAACAGAATTTTGAGTCAGCGGTTTTGACGTCGTAGATATTAATTTGGGCATATGTGGGATGCACCCCTTCTGACAGTTGTAAAGGTGCCAATTGGGTGATAAATTGTGTTGTACACCTTATACTTGAAAGGCCCTCCACCGTTATATACTTCAATTTTAGCTCGAGTGCTGACCATTGCGAGCGCAGAGTTGTGCGATCTAATGTTCTCTTTGTAGTTTCTGCTCAAATTATTTGCTCCATTAAGTAGGCTCTGGATATAATAGATTTCTCTGTATGGTGGTAGGTAGATTCACTTTCCTTTATGGCACCAGGATAAAAATCCTTCGCCTCGTCCTCTTTGTTCTTCTTTAAAATGTTGCGCACCACGTTTCTGACATTTTAATGCCATCTCGCCAAGTGAATGCTGCTGAATTCATGTATTTGTAAGTGTAATTTTGTAAGTACAAATTGCCACTAACTGTTCCAGCTCCTCGTCTGGGTTCCTTATGTTTTGCATTGCTTGCCGTATGTTGACTCGCCGTGTCCGACCGGCAATATTTCTTTGTTGTCGGTTCCTTGGCATGTTTATACGAAAATATAACGTAAAACTTTTCTCCCGTCGTGTCCTATAGGTAATATTTCTTTGCCGGGTTTCTAATAATTTTTAAAAACATGCAAACTTTTTACATTTTAAAACAAAAAAAAACTGCTGGGATTTAATTTTTTTTTTAAACTAATGTATTGACATCTGTTTCAGAATATAATGACATTCAAATCAATCACAATGTTATCCGTATGGAAGGAACTTTGAGGGCAGCCCACGCCCTTAAAAAGATATATTTCGAAAATCTAAGTTTGCACATCTACACACCTAACACATTACACACATTTTGGTATATAGTATGTGGGGTTAAATCTTAAAACAAAAAAGCCTTATTGTTCACAAAGTTTCATGTCGTGTATTAAATATATAGATTTGCTTGGATCAGCTGTCTGAAATAAGCATTTGGTGGTTCTGCTTGTTTCCATTGAAATGTCAATGCAAAGATAAACATTATGAGTTTTCTCATGCATCCACGGAGACCAATAATTAATATTTAATATTGAAAATCTCAATCTCAAAACTATGGACATTAAAGGAACAAAGCCCGATAGGAACTTAGGGAAGTGAATAGGCCTATGACGTTCCTAGCTATATGGACCATCTTTGTGCCTAATTTTGGCTGTATTGGTTTAGTATTTTAGTCCTGACAGCTGCACAGACAGACAGACACAACCTCAATTTTATAACAGTACCGGTATGGATAGATTCTGCAGGGGTCTCCAACCTATAGCCAGCGCGGAGGGTCAGATGCAGCCTGTGAACAGATTTGATCTGGCCCACGAAGGCTTACTAGGAAATCATTATTTTTATTAATTGGTATAAATCAATGATCGTCAATCATGGTAGTGCTAGTGGCAACACCCTGCAAGTAAATGTTGCAATTTTGGTAATAATGTGATAAACATTCGCAATCGCGGCAACACTCGTAAGTAAACTGTCTAATCTGATCACAAGCCTACTGAGCGAGATTTTTGCATCACTACTTCCCAATAGGGAAATTTGCTAATAAAGGAACAAAATTTAGAATAGAAAGGCTGGTGTAATATCCAGTCAATTGTTTCATGTAGGTACTAATAGAACCAAACCTAACCTTCAGTGTGATATCATGAAAATGACTCATAGTCAAACAAAGGTGTGTGTGTGTGTGTGTGTGTGTGTGTGTCTTAATGGAAAATTATAAGAAACCCCTACCCATTACTATTGCTTCCATTAAATAGTTCTCAAAAGTTTATTAAGATCATCTGCACTTTATTTTAACATTCCTTTAAAGTTTCCACTAGATTATTTAATGTAGCCTGCAGTATTTGTATATGTAAATGAAGAGAGATTTTAAATTGTTTACATCCATTTCTGGTAGTTAATGTTTTACAGGTACAAATACTTTTAATACTTTTCATTGAAATGGTGACCATACAAAGTAGGTATTTTAAGCCAAGTATGAATGGAGATGAGGGTAGGATGAGTGGAAATGGTTTACTTTTATTAACTAAACAGAGAATGTTAAATTTTTTCTTGAGATCTTTAGAAATATGATCTCTTGTGTTTTTATACATAGAATTGTAGAGAAATTTTGATTATTTTACTGTATTTATGACCATAGACAACATGTTCAATTATAATTTTATTTTATTTAATAAAGTAAAACTTTATAAAAATAAAATCGTGCTTGTGTATGTGGGTTGTTATTCAGATCTTTGTTGTGTCAATCACTAACAAACCTGGAGACTATTTGTCCATTTATTACAAATATTGATTTATGTAGGCCTATCCAAACTTTTAAAATTTAGGCTTTAAATATGGTGTACCCTGTTTTAGTGGTTTAGTGTATTTAGTGCTCTAGGGCCTAATTTTGATAGTGACCAATCGCTTTTAACTCTGCTGGCCAAGGCTTTTTGCTTTGGAGCCCTGTCTTAAGTTGAAGGTCCCAACTGGGTGAAAATGTTTTTTCACCATGTCAGTATATTTAGCGGACACATCAATGCCACTTCCTCCCTCTCAAACGTGGTTGAAACTACCAATAGTCTAGAGTAACTAAAATTATCTACCGATATGTCAAGAGTAAGGTACATCATATGTAGTTTGTGCTTAAATTTTCATAAACTGTTTTTAGTATTATAGCAATACAATTTGATGTTGGTTTGATATTATATAAAATTAAATGGATATTCTGTTTTTCAGGCTAAGAGGCTTTCTACTAATGAGTTAGCAGCTATCAAGGTCATTAAGCTTGAACCAGGTAAGTTAAACGTTAATATATAAATCTTTATTAAATGTACCGGGGGACTAGAATTGCCACCTGTTCTGGTTCTGTCGTAGAAAGGGGAGGAGTTGTCCCAACTTTTCCCTCAGCAAATGTGGCAACCCTGCATGGGACCGAGCAACTTCAATTAGGTTCAACAGTAAAAACAGTATAAAACAGAAACATGAGTAATTATTGCAGCAACTAAAAATGTTATTTGAGTATAAACATTGGACAGTTTAATCAGTGTTCTAAACCCTGCAATGCACAATACAACACAATTAAAACATATATTATCATACATTAGTTAAATGTACACGTGCAGATTTTCTCCCCTCTAGTTATTGAAAAGCGGTGAGTGGTAGACCGCGGAGCTTCCTGGGCTCAAATCCCGCCAATCACTAATGGATTTTATCCATGTGATAATGCCACAACCACCTGTTTATGTGTAAAACAGTCCAAGTTAGAACCTATCGTCCTGGGATGTGAAGATGAAGTCATTGAAAAGCAGTAACGTTTTGATTAATATTAGTATGGCATTCCAATTTATTACTAACTCAATAGAGCCTCTTATAGGCCTAGGAAGTTATAAAGATTAGGGTCACATTGCACAGTAAAATCATTATTGTTTTTTAAAATCATAAAATAAGGATTCCAATATTCATGGAGTATACTAGTTTAAAAACCAAACTCTACTGAATGCCAATAACTATGTTAGCAAATTATCATAACCTTCTGTACATATTTCTATAAATAATAATTTTCACACTCTTTAAAATAATACGTGTAAATATAAATAGATACCTAAACCTAGTTTTTTGTCATTCTTTTGTAAGGTTAGAGGCATGAGTTAAATAAGGCCTGATTTTTTTACTAGTTTGAAAATGTTACGTTTAAGAATTTTTAATGTTGAAGCTTGATTTAAAACAACATGAAAAACTGCTGAAATGTCAATAATTGTTTGTTTAACTAGTTACTTATCACAGAAAACATGTAGGCCTAGGTGACTCACATATGTTTGCAGATGACATTCAATTACACAATATGGCAATAAAATGTTACAATCATTGTCCATAATGCTTTTTCTTTTAACCTTTAACTGCAAAAACCTGAAGCCGTGGAAGTGTGTGCAAACTTTTAACTAACCTAACAATAGATATCCTTTTCTTTGTGGCCATAATAAACTCAGTAGACTAACTGTAAAATATTTAAAGAACTATCCATTGCAGCTTGCTTTTTGGACTTTGGAAAATAATGTTTACCTCTTTATAGCAACATTTTATTCAACATTGGTATTATTTTATATTTATAATCAATAAAATTGTTGTCGTAAATACACTGTAAGTTAATGATGTAAGTTTGAGATTTTATTTGTTTACATTATTTCTCTATACAGTAGACACCCTCTTATCCGGACTTCTCGGGACCAAGGCCATTCCAGATAACGGGTTTTCCGGTTAAAACGACGACCCCAAAAACTCGTTAAAACGGACTGTTTAAATGCATACTGTATAAGCCAATAATGATATTATGTATTTAGACAAGTGATCACTGGTCTCAAATATTTCAGAGAACAGTCGTTTCAGCACTACCCACTTCCTGCCGATTCTTGTACAGCCTGGAGGCAACTGCGTGTGCGGCCTCTAGTGTAGTGTGTGCGTTGATTATTGCGTGTAAATAGTTATTTTTTTTACTATTCATGACATTATTTAGTAAATATATAGTGTTTACAAGATGAGTGAAGAAGTTAAATTTAAAATTGCAACACTCTTAGCCAGTGCTGAAAGGGAGATTCCCCAACGTTAAATTTACGAATGTTAAATTACTTAAAACATCAGGTATTGTTTGTGTTATCATCTAGAACCACATTATAGGACATTATGGTAAAATTTAAATTAACTTCTTGAATATATTCTTGTAAAAGATTTCTTCATATTGGCCTACTTTTATGTAAGAACATTTGATAGAATAATAGTTTAATTTTATATTTATAAAATCTAGTTAAGTTATTTTATAATTAAGAGTTCACCAAACACATTTTGATGTTTAAAATTAAAAATAAAACTTAATTTGTGCACTAAAATACAAATTTTACTTCATGAATGTTTGTTTTTATTGACCTGGAAGTAACCTCCGGGTGCGCCCTCTCCCGTTTTGAAAACCAATGTGCTCTCTAAAAGGTTAAAGAGATGTCATTTCCGCCGAGTGTCTTGTTAAACCGATGTCTGGTTAAAAGGTGTTTGGAGAAGAGGAAGTCTACTGTGTTTGGAAAACATATTTTATACAATCCTTCAAGTCGGCTTTATGGGCCTTCCTCGTCACACATAAAAATAAAATGCAAAGGTTATATAAGACCCCCTTGTCTGACGATTAATCAGTGAAACTATTTCAAACTAGGACTGTTTTACCATTTTAGTTGCTCTATTTGTTACAGCTGTTCCCTATTGTATTGAGCGTGACAGAAACTGATGTATTGTTTTAAAACGTTAAAACTACAGAAAGCTGTGAACCCATTAGAAAACCATTTAGTTGTGAACAAGGACCTAAATTAATAACCCCTTAGATATTTTAAAATCCATTTTTATTATTTTAATAATTAATTAAATTAGGGATTGAATTTAATCACCAATACTTATATGTCGAACAGCAAAGTGCAAAACGAGATCCGTGGAAAAACTATCGTCGCAAGGTCTGACAATCCCCCCTTGAAGGGTTAACTGAAATATTCTTCTTTCAACAAATGGACACATAGAAAAATGTAAGTAGTTTAAAAATCTGGCCTATTATTCTAATCTCGTTGAAACATTGCAGGAGAAGACTTTGCAATAATCCAGCAGGAGATTCTCATGATGAAGGATTGCAGACATCCGAACATCATTGCGTACTACGGCAGCTACTTGCGCAGAGACAAACTGTGGATCTGCATGGAGTATTGCGGAGGAGGCTCCTTGCAGGATATATACCATAGTAAGAACTTTGTCATATACACATGCGGAGGTTACCAATTTGATCTTAAAATACCGTTTTGGAACTGCAGAATTAACTGTAGAACATTATGTATTCAAATCATTCATATGTTCAGGTCACTCTTACGTTTTGTCACTTTACTTTCTATTTCTTAGTCTAAGATGTGTTCTAGTTTTTTTTTCTTCACCGTTTTGGTTAACTGATATTTTGGTTAAAAGTCTTTCTGTTGATGGAGGTTCTATTCTATTCTATTCTGTAGAGCAATTAGAAATTTAATTTCAGGTTAAGGATAAACACAAAGCACAAGGGCCTGTATTTAAGGATTTATGTTTAGCAGGCAAACCTGAATGAGGAAGAGCACAAGAAACAAAAACACTTTACATTTATACACACACAAAAATAGAATATTTCACAGTCATCAACAGCAATTTCAACCAAATAAGGTTCGAGTTAAAAGAGCGATGTTTATAGGTCAAAGGAACGGCAGGAAGTTCCTATCCTACTCGTTCACCACAATTCACACCATATTTGATTGAAAATGCTGTCAGTGACAGTAAATTATTCCAATATTTGTGTATTGTGTAAAGTTTTATGATTATTGTGCCATTGTGGACTCTTACCCATTCATCTTGAAATTGACTTAGTCTGTAGGATTGCTGCAACTGGAGTGTTATAATTTTATGAGATCCTTGACGTATGCAAGACATTTTGTTATATCTTCATGTTTATCGTAGGGTTAATTTAATGTGTAATAGTATATTACGTTACTAGTCCTGAAAATAAGTGTTTACCGGACGAGTGTGGTCGTTCCCGTGCGAGACGAAGTCGAGTACGGGATTACCATACGAGTCCGGTACACATATTTTGGACGAGTTACGTACGATAGTTTACGCCATACTACTTAATCCGTACAAATCCTTATATATTTCCACCAACTAAAGGAGTAAAAATCACTAGTCATAACCTCCAAGAGAGGTTATGTTTTTGTTTATAACCACTCATTGCCACGCAAATACAAGTATAATCAGCTGATTGGTGTCCGGTAAAACTCATTGCAGAACAGTAGTACGCAGTGAAACCCCATTTGAATAAGCTGACGGCAAACAGCTGTTTTCTTTACTAAATCCTTGCGTGGAAAGTTCGTCAAAATAGTGTAGTGTGGCGTAAAGCAGTTTTACGTTGTTAGTTGGAATAGTATTTAATCGAATACAAACAATAGGTGGTGGGTTTATAAAACCTAGGGTGCCCACGTTCTGGAAAGTCAGGGATAGTCATGGAAAACAATTCTGGTCATTGAAAGTCATGGAAATAGGTAAAAAGTCATGGGAATCTCCAATGATGGATGGATTCGAGAGGACTTTTCTATGCAGCATTTTTCATTTTTGTAACATTTTTTGGATTTTTTACATATGTACGACAATCGACAATTCAGTTTATTACAGTTGTAGTAGTTAATGAGTTAAAGTTTGTATTCGTTCAATACAATCCGTACCTACTTTATCTTATAATCTTCTATATTATTAATACACTAAATGAAACTTTGTGAACAATAAGGCTTTTTTGTTTTAAGATTTAACCCCACATATTATATAAGTCATCGGAAATTATGACTATTATTTGTTTTAAAATAACGCCTGTAATACTTCGCAATAATTGCTCGAATTCGAGCTACAGGTTCACTAGTTTAATTTAATTTTGTAGAATATTGTTGCAACAGTAGTTTATATGAAAATGTTACAACTTCATTATTACAACTCAAATTGCAATACTAATATTGCTATAATGTTTTGAGTTGTCTTAAATTAGGTCTCTTCTAAGTTAAAATAAATTTTGTAAACACTGCTAACTCAATAAATAACTCAATAAAAAACAAATAATAATAATTTATTTTTGTAAAAAAATACAACAGACTTAAATTGCTCTATAAAGAATGATTTAATTTCAATAAAATAAACTTTTGTATTAGCTTCTATGATGATGTTTGATACAAAATTTAAAGAGAATGTCCACATTGCAGGTGACTATCTATAACTAAAGGTGTTACTCTGCATGTATTTTTCATAGTTATGCGTTGGTTGTTATTTTATTACTGTAAGAACCAAAGATCGGGAGATACCATCATAAAGCTTTTTTTAATAAGATAATAAATTATAATCTTATAGTGGTATTAACGAGTATCTTTGAAAAGATTATAATGCATTTACATGTTTCTAACTTGAAAAAGTAACGTTTTGATATTAAAAGTATATAGGAAGGAAAGAAGAAAGTGGAGTGAGAACTTAACTTGCTCAGCTATGGGGACGGAGAAGGCTGGGTTTGATTTTTTCCTTCCTTATTTTGAATACCATATTTTTGCAAAATTTATTACTCCATTGTTATCTGTTAATGTGTTAAAACATAGTTCAGTAATTTCTGTGAAATAACTTGTCCAGGCAGTATTATTCGTTTTTGTATATTATATTATAATTTTAAAGTAAGGTTTGTGAGTCATGGAAATCAATGGTAATAGATAGTCATGGAAAGTTATGGAAATTAATGACAAATTTTCTGTGGACACCCTTAAACCTTTTCAGTGGCAGAGTACCTAGTTTATATGTGCACTGATTGTTGCTTTTGTTAAAAGTCACTGGACCATTGACAGAACTGCAGATTGCGTACATGTGTAAGGAAACTCTCCATGGTCTTGCGTACCTACACACCATGGGGAAGATGCACAGGGATATTAAGGTAAGTGACATTTTTATGACACTACCATCCATCATAGTATGAAAAACTAAAAAGAGACGCAAACGTTAAAGGTTTAAGCTGTATTTTTTATGCTTTGGAAGTGTAAATTCTCAACTAGCATATTTAATCTGGAGAATAGTGGCCACATAACTCAACTTCTCCTCTCTTAAATCCTCTTGAGTCCGTAAATCCCATTATTCGGTTTTACTAAAATCATTGATTTAATTTGTGTAACAAAATGTCACATGTTTATAGGGAGCCAACATCCTGTTAACGGAGAACGGCGATGTGAAATTAGCCGACTTTGGTGTTTCTGCCCAAATCACCGCGACCATTAACAAGAGGAAATCTTTTATTGGAACTCCGTATTGGATGGCCCCGGAGGTTTGTAGTTTTAGTGTAGATATTTTAAAAACAAAGAGTAATCTATATAAAAGTAATTCATTAAGGGTTTGTGTTTTTTATTAAACATTATTTTAATGTCAAACAGATATGATGCTGTTATGATGTAAATATCTGTAATAAATAAATCTCTGACTCAGGGACTCTCACTAATCAAAAAAAGTTTGGGTAGTCGAGTGGTTTTATTGCTTGTCTTCAAACTTGAACATCACTTGTATGACTTCAAGCAAATTCGATTCTCATCCGAGATGACACAATCAATTACAAATGCTATCTAACAGAAGGTGGACGTTAGATAGTAACGTGAACGTTTTTGACTGTTCCCTAGCAAAAGAAAAATAAGTGTCAATCAATAGCATTGATAAACTAAAAGCGCTCATTAAAATAGCTTCCCTAAAACATTATGTGGAATTTTGAATGTTTTTTGTGTACAGGTAGCAGCAGTGGAGAGAAAAGGAGGCTACAATCATCTGTGTGACATCTGGGCAGTTGGCATCACTGCTATTGAGCTGGCAGAACTGCAACCTCCCATGTTTGACCTGCACCCAATGAGGGTACTGTTCCTCATGTCTAAAAGTGGTTTTAAACCACCTACGCTCAAAGACAGAGATAAATGGTTAGTTTGCGGTTACTGTATTTCATTAATATGTTATTTAACTATCAAAAATGAATTTTTGTGGATTAGAAAAATCAATATAAATCAACTTTAGAAAGAACATATAACTAAACTAGAGATTATTTGCTACTCTATTCTTCTCTTTAAACTAAGAAAACTGTATGTAAATTTTAATAGTGTGGATAAAAATAAGTTATAGAATGAAAGGTTTTTTGTGTAACATACCTTTTTCGTTCATCCTACCTAAGCGTTTTGTACGATTGAGGTGTTGTAAGCTTAAGTAGGGACGAATGGTAATTCAAAAGATAAGCTTGCCCCCCTAATCTTTGATTTCCATATGGCACTTTCAAAGTTCATGGTAAATAAAAAATAAAAAAAAGTCTAAACTGGTTTTTATTGTATTTCAGGAGTCCTACATTCCATAATTTTGTGAAAACCGCACTCACGAAAAACCCAAAGAAAAGACCTACATCGGAAAAACTATTACAGGTAGGAATTTATAATTTACCCAAAACTTAAAATTCGATTATTTTCATGATGGGATAGTCTTTGAAATATTATCTGGTAAGTGAACGTGGTGCACAGGATAGTAAGGAATTTCATATCTCCAAATTTTTAAATATCTTTAGAACATTGTCATAAATTTGAGGTTAATGTGGAGAACCTCTAGAACCATTTAACATATAGAACAGATTAATGAATATAAAACATGTACAAAACCATAGCCTTCTCTAGTACACAAGGCCGCGGCAAGCGAGAACTGGCAACGTTGCATCTGAGTCTTGGTGCGCAATCGCCTTACAACTACAATGAATGGAGGAGTCGAGTACCGACTTGCTTATTCGGGCTTCTACTACCTTAAATAATTAGTAATGACATTGAACTTGTTACTACAACATACCAGATAGATGTGTTGTGCCTGGGTGCAAGAGTAATTACGAAAGCTCAATTAAAACTGAAGGATACATACAGTGTTCTAAGATTCCAAGTGATCCGCCGCGTAAGCAGCAATGGCTTCATGTTATTCCTCGGTTAGGTTGGACACCTTCAAACAATTATCGTGTTTGCGTGAAACATTTTCAAGAAGATTACCTAATTTTTTGTACAAAAATATAAGAATAAAGACAATGATTGGTGTAAATATAGAAGCGAGTGTTAGGTGAGAATACTATTTCCTAATTTACCTTCGTATTTTAGTGATAAACGCTGCTGAACAAAATAGCCTTAATAACTAGTACTTCAAAGAAATAAAACCGTGTTTCTTTTAAGTACTAGTTAAAAATATGTACTACACCATCTACATACCATACAATGAAAGCATCAGAGTCCGACTCGTCTAAATGTTGATTTGGTTAAAAAGTTCAATGAATATTGTGGAAAGTCATATGTCCTAGCTTCTGAAATCGTTTACAAAATGCCAAATGTTTTATTTGATTTATTTTGATTTTATATTCCAACGGACAGCTCCATTGTGATATTGGTAAACATATGAACAATACTTGCTAACGAATAGTACAATACAATGTTTAATAGTAAATTGATTGTTTTGCTTGATAATTATTCAAATAAAATAAAATAAATTCAGTCAGTATGCCTTCAAACAAGAAAATAAAACTTCAAATTTTGTTGTAGCTAGCTAGACTTATTGTTCCACAATCCCAGGTATTGGCTAAAACTTAATATTCCTTCTACTGTATTTCAAACTGAAAACCATTTTATTTGAACAAATTATTAGATGTTAGTCTCTAAATGTTAGTCTCATTTGCAAATTGCAATGGAAGTTTTATTTAAAATTATGAAATTGACAAAGAAAATATGCAAAGTCCAGACATGTCCACATTCATCGTACTTACAATACGATAAATACGTATTTAAGTTTCATGTATGTATTTTTAGTTTTAGACATATTGTGCTATGTTGTATTTTTTACTAAATAAATAAGCTACCTTTACTCTAATTGTCTATTTTACCATATCCTGAAACCCACTAATGTATTTTATTTACATACTTTCATTCATTGATACAGAGCAGCAAAAACAGTAATGCTCCCATAGCCTAGCGTGTGTGCTCGACCCAGGCAGCAGGTGATTGCGACGTTGCCAGTTCGAACATCACGGCCTTGTGTATTAGAGGTGGCTATGATAAAACAATTTTACTTTCAATTGTCACATAGTATACCTACTTCCACTATGTCTCAGGTGGTTTTGTTAATTTAGTTTTTGATTAAAACTTATGTTAAACGTCATTGTATGTTGTGTGTTTAAGCACCCTTTCTTCATATCGGACATGAGCAAGAGATTAGCCATTGAATTGCTGCAGAAGGTCAACAACCCTTCCCACAATTTCACAGAATTTGAGGCTGACGATGATGGCGTAAGTAGTGTCAAGTCAAACTTTGCAAAGCTTCGGTTTTAAGTAATTGGTAATTTTTAATAATCTATCCATCTAATGTTGTCTAGTAAAATGTTTTAAACACTTAACACTGACTGAGAATTATTCAAGTATTATTGGAGATATTTTCAATCTCTGGAATAGTAGTTTCTTATTGAGATGGGAAGGAACCTAGAACTAACTGTACTGGGAAACACTTCTAGCTTCCCTCCTCAGGCTGTGAGGTTGTTATAGTCTGTTAAATAATCTGTGTTGTTGATTGATTTTTAACATTGTGGCAGTAGTCTCTGGATCACTATGACTATTACAATAGTAGGTTATGTTACCTTATGTATGGCCAAGTTATCTGTTTAGAGTACCATGGTTTCGAAGTTCTTGACGGCATAATTTTTTTTAAGTTTACAGGGTGTTAAGCATGTTTAATCTTCTTCAACCTGGGCAGTGAAAAGATTCGTTAGTTGAAACCCTGAATACAAACACCTTAAAGGAAACATTTAAAAAGCAGCGTGGTCCCAGTTAAATCACTAATCAGATTTGCGTGCGTGTGAGCGGCAAAAGTTCGGTCATGACATTGGGTAACGTGTCCTGTGTTCTAAAGTAGCTGCTCTATATCAGCTGTTTTTTGTTTGGACTGTTATAATTTCCCATTATATCTATTGAAGTCTTGTAAATAAACTTGGATTGAAAACATAACTTGTTGAGCAGATATTTTTACGGTAAATTTCAAATTCTTAAGTTGTATCTATAAATAATCTTTTTTTTTAACAAAAGTAAAGTGCTACTCAAGTAAAGTGCCTTGGTGGATTTTTTTCACTTGTTTGTCTGCCAAAAACTTTACTAATCAGAACGTTTCTTTCTGTTTTGTCATTTTGTTTGATTGTTTCTCCTCAAGATGGCTAGATTCCAGATGCTGGATCATTATGAAACCTCTGTTTTCTACCAGTTTTGGAAAATTACCTCAGTGTTCCATAAAAAATTACCTAAACACCACTTAAAAAAGAAGAAATATACTCTGTTTTCAAATTGATTGATTACCTACTGTTTTTTTTCAGAAACTTTCATGCTGTCTCCTTCTCTACAATGTTAAGGTTTTCAAAGACTGAGAGTCTAATCCACTTTCTCTGATTTTAGGCTGTTCCAAATGTTCCGCAGAGAATTGCGTCCCGACTGACCAGCAAAAACAGGCGAACATCAATAGAAGCTGGTGAGCTCCAATCATTTAACTACATTTTTAGTAATACCATCACAAATATTGAATGTTTTAAATACTGTTTAAGTGTATTTTTAGATATAAGTAATGGCATCTGTAATTAATCCTTGTATATTGAAAAACATTTTTAAACCAGAACTTTAAAACAAAACGAATTGAATGATTGGTTTCAGTTTCAGTAGTGTTTTTAGGATCTGATGGTATTTAATTTATGAGTTTTCAAAGGCAAAGTACTTTATTGTATCTGTAATGTTTGATGTTTTGCCAAGCATGATGGTTATTGACTTTCTGTAATAATTGCATTAACCCTTTGAGTGCCAACGTCCGGGGAACCGGACGTTTTTAAAACGAGCCAAAAGTGCCGACGGCTGACCGGACGTTTCGTAATGATCGAGCAGTTGTCATAACAACCGAATGGATACTCGGATTCTTTTAACCCATATATTAACATTGAGTCGAAAGTTACTAGATGCGATACATCGATTTTTGTTGGTCGAAATATCGAAAATTAGATTTTTACAAAATTTTAACCGAAAAATCGCCAGATCGCGCTCGGCATTTTTAGCGCGACCTTCGGGAAAAATCATCGGCATTTTTTGAGCGTTACTTTTATTTCTCGCCTGGCACTCTAAGGGTTAACCAACACTTCAACTGTTAAGCATTGGATAGTTTTAAAGCCGTTTGTTAAGATCATAAAACCAGTTACAAAATTCCAAAGATTAATTATTACTAGTGGTCGTCCAGTGGTCGAAAACTCGACCAAAAACATGTAATGTACACATATTGACTATTGGATACTGAAGTAGACATCCCATCTATATGGGCCAGCTGTCGCCATTTTTTAAGTTAAAAACCATGTAGTTGTGTGAGCTATTCACCGAAAGCATGTCTTAAATTCTATTTCCTACCTTATTTTTTGTTGCTGACAAAGTTGATGGGTCATAACAGTTGCTATAGCTCATTCAAAAAGTTTGACTTAGTAAAAAACATCATGTATTCAACAGAAATTTAGTCATTTAGGTAAGCACAGTCTGTTGGTGGCTCACATCAACTACGACGAATTTAATTAAAAAACTGGTGACAACTTTAACATGGGTATGGAATTCAAAGGTGCAGGCTTCTCTATTTTTACCCCACGCTGTAAATAAAACGTGATTGGAATTTCTTCCATTTGTTTTGATTTTCTGTTTATATTTCGTTGTTATTTCGTCACCAGCATGGCAACCCATAAAGCCCATAATATAAGTGTTTATATTTGAGCCAATTTTAATTTTCAAAGGGATTCTGCACTTCTACAGGAAAATATCTTTCTAATGGTATGCGTAGGTTTTCCCTGTGATGCACACGAGCCGAGAAAAAAGGTTTTAGAGAAACATGCTTGCCTATTAATATATAGATAGATTAGATAAAAAAATTACTTGGGTGTCACTATGAGCTCTCTGAAACATTATCGACAAGACTTTGTGTCTGCTTCACAACTGTGTAGCTATTAAATGTAATTTGTCAACATTAATAATGTTAACAATCCAAATTTCTCCAGACAAGTATGTGAGGGTTTGTTTGATGTTTCAGCAGATGTGGTACAACCCGTGGATCCGACACAGTTTACCGACATCAACAGAGCCTGGGACATCATGGACATCAATCTTGTCATGAACAACATTGACGTAAGTACAACTAAACATCTTTGTAACTTCTCAGACCAATTTTGGCATAATATTTCTTCAACATGTTGCCTGTTAGCTGACACACTCCTCTGTATGGGGGCTTTGTGAGACCTGGTAGTGAATGTATTCATAATAAATAAATCATATCAGCAAACTGACACATACTCTTACCCATTAGCTACACATTAAAATTGAACGTCTTACTATACTGAGTAACTGGAGGGAGGTAGGCTAACTATGGGTTTTTATCGGGGAAATCACAAAAAATGCAATAACGTTTGAAACTTAATTTTTAAAGTGTTAAAAGATGTTAACTACTGTGGGTTCGGTTGTTGGTTTTACTGGTTTTTAGCAAAATAATAAACGAAATCGAGAGTTGACTGACTTAGTTCATGCTATCCCACATTACTGAAAGTATAATAGTATATTATATGTATATTTAGCAAAACTGTAGTGTATGAAATGAAAAGCAATCTAAATCTTTTTTTTTTGTTTTCAGCACGTCCACAATTGTGATAATCAAAGTACTGACTGGACCAAAGGAGATATATTTACCGAGGATATGACCATCACAAACGAAAAGTAAGTATGATCAATAATACAGCTAGGAATTATTAGAAAAATCCCTGTTAAGCATACGTACAGAACCCCAGTGTTCTAGAGTCTTGCCAATATAGACTGGGAACTAACTTTTCAGAATATCTTACTGTTTAAATTATCTTTTTTTTTAATTCCTTCTGTAATCCTGTTTTTACATTCCAGTTTTACATAGTGAAAGAAATGTTTTATAAAAGGAGTGCTTATTTCAGCAATATCCACTTTATTGTCCTGTATCAATATTCTACTTTATGGTATTGCATAATTTCTTCATATCTTCTTCACATTTTAGAGTGGACAAAATAAGCCATTAAAGATGTTTGCATTTACAAAAGTTTACCTTCTTATTCAAGAAATCTTTAAATTGCAACAATAATTTTAATCTCTTGTTTTTTTTTTACACAACTAAAATGTTTCTGAGTATATTGCCTTTTTAATTTTTGAAACTTTTTTTATATCCATGTACTGTTTTGTTTGAAAACGAAATCTAATGTGCAAGTCATTAGATTAGCAGTACGTTACAATGTGAATTATTTAAACTTTTTATTACAAATTGTTAACCCAAACTGTTAAACTACCCTACTTGTAATCTTCTTCTGCTATTTTCTCAATATTTCATCAAAGTAAAGAGTAAGGATTAAATAGTATAGCAAAAGCTGTATTTGTTTATCAGTTCAATTAATGTTTAATAAGCTCTATGAATTTCGCCTTCAAATTCTAATCACTTTAACTAGTTTCAGATTACGATTTTAACCTACTTATAGTTTGCTAGATGTCATTCAATTATCGTTTTAAGAAAAACTTTTAGTAGGCCTACACCAGTCCTGCTGATCTGAATCATTTATTGAGGAAAAAAGGTAACAGTATTTAAATGAAAAAATAGATCTATGTGTTCTAAAGGAGTGTCCAGCTGTTCAGGAAACCATACGGTAACCATAACTTGAATTTTGATGACTGGAAAAAATTTGTGTGTGTACGTGAACTTTGTTTGAAACCTGGGAATTTGGAGTGATTACCAATAGCATATTTCCGAGCATTTATTCATTTGTGGCATTTGTTAAGGTTGACGTTTAGTAAAACGAACAGGGATCGCAGGAGTTGATCTGAACATTGCCGCAATTAAGGTTGGTAAACGCGGATATTTCTGGCAATCGTGGGAGATATTTTTGACGTTTTCTTGTTCGCAGGAAAAATTAAGACCGCATACAGTCATAAAAGTTCATTTTTTTAATTTGTTATGCATATTTCACTGCATTTCCGGCTAATCTGAACAGGGTCCAGTCCCATTTAATTCGGTTCAGTGGTTCTGGTGTAGGTACTATTAAATTGAATTTTTATATTATCTATTTAATTATTTTTACTGAACTCAATATGAATAAAAATTATTAAGGCATTAAATACTTAAACTTAATAAGTATGCTGTAGTTTACTTTAATTACTATATCAGATAGGCCTAATATAGTCATTTTATGAATTACTGTACTTTTTTAAACGTTATGTTTAAGTGTACAATGCAGCACTCGTAATTGTAGACCCGTCAATTAAGCTAAGCACACGCTTTGCTGGTAATTGAGAACATAGATATAAATATCAATACTGGATTGCTTATTGTTCATAAGTGTCTAAATCTACATTTTTTATCATAGTATTTTGTAGAAGCATAGCTATGGAAATTGTCAATTACTAAGAATCTGTTGTTTCATACAGGTTGGGCGAAACAGGATTCAATAAATTGAAAGCACAGGCTTTACAGATAATTGAATAACATGTAGAGTTCCAAATTATGCTTTTTTTGTCTTATTTCCACAGTGTTTAAAATCGAAGAACCGCTTTCACAATCCAAGTGTTAGATGTTTATGTCTATGTTGTGGTATATCTCGCTTATGTATTCCATAGCCCTATCTATGAGAGCCCCTGTGCACATTATGGGGAGTTGCGGTGTTGGGAACATGTAAGTGCTTCTGATCAGTTTCAATCCTGGGAACCAAAAATCGATACTGAAATTATGGGAATGTCCCTCAGGTAAAGGATTTCCAGAGTTCCCCTTATAACCTTGGCCATGCTGTCTCTTTTTGCAACTTGTTTGCAGTTTGTTCTTTTTCAAACCTATTACTCATAACCTCCTAATTTTGCCCTTTGTAATGCTGGACATTTTGGTTTTATAATTCTTTTGTGATACTATGCTGGATATACTAGGTACACTTTAAATCAACTGAGATCTATCGTAGTGTTAAAGCGTGATTTAGCGATTTTATCCACTAATCAGCAGAGTCTAGATATTTCACAACAAACTTGCGACAAAGACAGACACGTTCCGTTCGGTATTGTTATCAATTTTCACACTTCTCAATATCTTAAAAAAATGTTTCCGTTGATTAATTTTCATCCCCACACCTCCTGGGCTAAAATAGGCTGAGAAAACATGTGTGAAGAAATACATTAGTTACTGTGCTAAAACTAAATTGCTATGTAGCCTATATATGAAAACGATTATGCAGAAACGCACATAGCTATTCTACACTCATCCTTCACTCATATTTGGGTTACAATACGCACCTAGGTGGCATCCCCATCTTAAATGGTGGTAGTAATAATAATAATATTTGAATTTTTGTCAATGCTATGAAATTAGACTTAGGACACTAAATCATTCCCGGTATGGCACATTACATACAAAATAATGTTTTCCATCCTTAGAAACATTTAATATTCAAAGTTCCACAAAAAAAGTAGCCTATTCCATTTAGTTCTTTTGTTGATAAAATGTTACAATATAAGTTTTTTTTTACATACCTTGATTTTAAAATAGCGTTATGAATTATCAACTTTCACAACAGTTTGGAAATGAAATACAATCATTTTTGTAATTTTAGAAGAGAACACCTTATTATTTGTTTAATCCTAAATAACAACTGCATGAGCGCAGTTTGTGATTTTTTTGATCATGTACCACCTAACCTTGTTTAGTGTTGTGTGTATTCTAATGTTTGTGTGTTGTTAGTGTTGTGTGTATTCTAGTGTTTGTGTGTTGTTTTGTGTTTGCATGGTTTGTGTAAATGTTACACCTCGTTTATAGTGTTCTTCTTATCATTTGTATTTTTCTTGTAAATTAATATTTTTTTACAATTTTTTTTTATCCATGATTTTTGTCATCAATGTCAAACAAGAACTATTGTGTTATTGCCTGTGATGTGTTGGTACTAAAGTTTTTAAGTAGATAGTACTAGATACTGGCCGAAATCAATTCTTGGTTATTGGTGCCAACTGCCAACCCAACTAAAAGGCCATGACAGTAAGAACTAAGTTGCAAATGTTAACCTTTTTTTTGTTACATTCCTCTTGATGTTAAATTACGTTAGTTATAAAAAAATAACCGGGATATTTGTTGTTTTATAGGTCTATTTTTTGTGTTTAAAATTTAGGAATTGGAAGTAGGTAATTACAAAATATAGTTGAGAAATCTTGGTGTTTCCAGTTTAGAAAGCAAATTCTTAAGCAAGTAAAATGAAGATCTTGAGCATAATACAAGTATTGTAGTTTGTACCTGTAAATTCAGTTAACTTCTTGTAATACGATACAGAGTATCCTGCCACCATCTTCTAGGAAAGACAGGGGTTCTATGTAAATTGCAATAACCAAGAAAAAGTCTTTGAATTATACATACGTTTTTTTGAGTCCTGATTCACGATTGCTGTGCCGTCACTTCACCTGATGTGGTGCCACATAGCCATCATCAGATTGTGCTTCCAAAAGGCCTTAGACTTTTGGTACCTAAGTACCATTGCTAACCCATTAACATCCGTTGTTGGTACCAGTGTAGTACAAAGAATTGCTTTTAGGTACCGACACATCACTAGCTATTACACATTATTTTAAATTATGAGAGAGTGCTGTGTCAAACTCCTCTTGGAAAAAGATGTAATAACATTTTCCTATGAGCTGTTTGAATTTAAATTCTTGGAGTAGCCAAAATTCTTAATTTTTTAAGTAAAAAGCCCCCTTGAAATTTCTGACAAATATATTATTAGTAAACATTTTTAGAATTGATGTAAGTTAGTTTTGCTAGATTTCAAATCAAACAGACCTTACCAGTCACTCTCAACTAGAAGCTACCCTTAGATTCCTTTTATTTTGTTCTGATTCACTTGTAAGTAAATGCACAAAATATGTGTTTTTATGTTTTACAAGTTTTATTTTGCTGTCCAGGAGCCTATTGCAGTACATTGATGAAGAGCTTGTTTACAGGTATTTTTTGTATTTGCATTTTTTGCTATCGGCTGCATTCTGCTTTGTTGCTAATATTTTGTATAACTCATTAGTCATTTGAAAGGATTAATAAATTTGTTGTAATGCTTGTTTGATGTCATAAACATAGTTTTTCAATTGTTTGTGCACTAATTTACAATTTAATTGGTTTAAACCCGTCTTAAAAAGTTTCATGTGTTTTTTTAGCGATTTTAATATAACACCTTCTTTTAATAAAAATAATCGCATCTGTTTTGGTAACATTTTTACTTACCAGTTCAGATTTGCTTATTCAATGTTTTTACTTAGTTTCCTATTCGACTTATTTGTCTTCTATCACACTTTAAATATTTTTTTATTTTTATTTTATTTTATTGTTCTAAGTATTTGGATTTTCTTATCTGATTTTTAAAATAATTGTAACTGAACTTATAACTTGTAACTTTTTGAGTATTAGCAACAATGCAGTTTGAATAAAATATTTTTTTCATTTATGGCAATTTCTATGTTGGATGATTTTCAATAATTAGAGTTTATTATTTAAAAGGAAGAACAATACTAAAATTATTTTACCCATCTTGCTGATAGTCATAGATTTACTAATCAATGTATGTAGTTGTTAGGAGACAAGTTTACTGAAAATTGCATACAAAAAGATTGCATTGAGCGTCTTTCTCACTGTAATTGTTTTGAATTATTTTCCTTCTTACCAAAATATTATTAATTAAAGGACTTTCCTTTGTAATATATTTACAACCAGTTTGGAATTTTGATTGTTAAATTACAATCCTCTATGTTAGTGAATCTAATTAAGTTTTTAGTTTCAATTTTCAAAATTTCTCTATAAAATAAATATTTTGAGTTTAGAAACCCAGTTAGAGTTTATTATAAAATAGATTTTAATTTTCCATTGTGCAAAATGTTTGGAAAACAATCTGCGTCACATATCATCCATGTTTGCCGTTCACAGATTTGTTTAAATTTGCAAAAGCGCTTCCTTTTTTAGTGTTCAATTTCATAGATGTGTTTGAATTTGTGTGAATCAGTGTTGATAGGATTAGTTATGGTTAAGGTGGTATAGTGATCCTGAATTGAATAGAAACATTTCTAATACGTCAAGTACAATTTAATTATTTAGGGTGTCTCTTAAGTAAACAGCCAAACTACGGAAAATGGTATTAGCAACTTGCTGGCTCAGAATAAAAAGAAAATCAGAAATGATTTTTTTCTGAAAAATAAGTCAAATTGATGCCCATTTTGATAAGCTTAGCCTCATTTTGCCTTAATGTGTGAATAAGAAAAATTCAGTAAGCCTTTTACCTGCTCAAATTAAATATAATTTAAAAGAATTACCTTTATAACGCAAACTAGTGATGGTCAAAACCAGAAATTTAAAATCTCAAAACCTAAACCAAAACCTAAAAAATCGAATTTCGAAACTTGAATTTCAAAAACTAAATGCGAAAATGTTTAGTTACCTGATCAAGGTAATACAGGTAATGATAAAATTTTAATTATGATTATGCGATCAAAACTAAAAGAGATTTGACACCTGATCGAGACATAATAACATAAATGTGACGGATAAACTTACAACCCAAAATGAAATATTTTTATAAACAACAAACATTAAAATAAACGAAACTCCTGACATTAACATAAACATAAATATTACACTAATTAGAACATTTAGTAGTCAATATTTCTTTGTTTTTAATAAATATTGAAATGAAACTGAATTGTAAGTTGTCCCAGTATTTTATTTAAGATGGTTTTTACAGTTTAGAATACAATTTACTTGTTTCATTAGTGTTAATGTATATGTGTTTGCTCCGTTGTTACCAGCTTATAATGATACAAAAAATGACAGCAGTTTCTCAAAACTTTTTAATCTCATAACTTTCCTATCCAATCTCGAAACGAAACCAAAACTTTTCCAAAGTTTTGATGGTTTTGAGATTTGGTTTTGACACATCACTGACGCAAACCATACCTGTAAAAGTAAAGTAACTTGAAGAAAAATCGTCCCATAAATGTTGAGCTTGACTGTATATTTATAGTACTCTCCCTACCCTGGTAGTGACTAACATTTCAGCAGTTAGGATTGTATTAGTTAGTAAGTTTGGGTCTCTGATTGGTTTCCTGCTTGCATTAGGGGATCCCATGCACATCCGTTGTTCCATCTAGAAGAATCATACTCGCTGCAGTAAGTAGACTAACCAATAAATAATCGACCATTCAGTTCTTGTAGCTGACGTTTTATTGAAATTTCTTTTATGATTCAAAAATATATTTCTAAGTTTATATAGCCGTTTTAATTTTGTAGGTTTTTATTTTTTTGGATCTGTATCTGCATTCACCGATCTCGCATTAATTTCAATTAGTTAGTTGATGTTACTTTTAAAGTTTTTGAAAATGTAGTTTTGAATTTTTTAATGTTTCGAAATTGTAGATTTGTTTTTTTGCCGTTAGATGTGTTATGTATTCACCCAATATGCTTGCTATTTAAGGTTTTTTTAATCAAAATGTTGATTATGTTTCATTTTCCAAAATTAACAAGTTGTTAAGGCATCTTATTACATTAAGCTTTATTTGATGAAATGTTCATGTCATGAACTGTTTTAACATACTATTACACCTAACAAACTTTGTGTACTGTAATATTACGTGTATGAATATAGGTGTATCTAAATGCTTTTTAGTTTGCAAGTATTGCATTGTAACAAGCCTCACTATCTGTAAATGGTTGCACTTTCTTGGATTATGTATAAGTCATTCTAAAAGCTATTGGAACACAATATATTTATATTCTAAAGATCTATTTAATTTTACCCTTAACCAAATTCCTCTCAGTTTGGAAACTTCCAATCATTCAAAATGTGTTATAATGTTTTTTGAACAAAAATACATTGATAGAAAACTATTTTTTTCCTTTAACGGCTGTCAGCTGAAAATAGATGCTCATTTTCAACATTGTTAAAAATATTTCTGCCAGAATGCTGGAGAGTGGGAAGCCCATGGCTAATCCTTCCTTTTTTTACGTAAAAATCATTCTGAAATTGAAAATAATTTTGCGTCATTTATAAGAGTTCCTTTATGGACTCAGGTGGTAAGTTGGAACCATCCACACAGATTGATTGAGAAAATACAATCACACAAAGTCGACAGAAACCACAAATTAGCTTCGTTTGATATAGTTAATCTGTATACAAACATACCCACACAGGAAACCATGGTGATAGTGTGGCAGAACTTAACAAGGAATTCAAACATACCCCCTGAGTCCATAGAGGAACTCTTATCAAGGACGCAATTAGTACTAAAACAAAACTATTTCCAATTTCAGAATGATTTTTACGTCCAAAAGGAAGGATTAGCCTAGGCTCCCCACTCTCCAGCATTCATTCAATTTCATTTCATACATTATAATTTTAATAATTTTATTTATTTATTTTAACCAAACTATAGCATTTAAAATATGCAATTGCAAAAACCTTATCAACAAGTTGCTTTTAATACAAATTTTTTACCCAGACAACATTTGTCTACTCTAGTTCCCGCTCAGCCCACATTTTATAAACAATGCAATGATTAAATTTTTGTGGTCTGATAACACTGCATGCAATTTGCAAGTGGTAGAAGTTTTTAGTATATTTTACGATAACCTGTTTATGCATGTGTTTTTATGATGTATGAATAAAAAACAGAAGCCACCAAAAACAGTTCATTATTTTATAACTACAAGCAACATGGATAAATAAATTTAAAAGAAACACTACAGATTAAAAATTGTTATTGTTATTGGCAGTGTGCCTGTATATAGGGTTTCTAATGCGAGTGTATAGTAAAAACCCGATTGATTGAACCCAGCTTCCGAGATTCCATAAATAAGTAAATTAACATTTCCTACTATTTGTGTTGAGTTAAACAATGTTTCTGTGAATGACAAATTGATTTTCTTGTTTTGTAAATTTACTCCTGAATACACTAAAACTTAAAGTAATGCACTGCACGTCAGTAAAGCTTTAATACAGTGGAACCTTGATATAAAGAATTTTAAGAGGAGCAACAACTGATTTTTACGGTTAGGGTGATATTCTAAGGCTCATGATCTATCAGAGGGACTAAAGGTAACTAAAAAAAAGGTATTTGTTTTAGGGCTTTGCCCCCCTAGCATTTGATCTATTTCTGGAGTTCTCTTTCACAGATTCAGTGATGTTGACTAACTTTCTTTACAACAGACTAGATAATTTCAAAGCTTAAAAAAATAAAGTGTTTTCCAATAAACCTTCAAATTGTAGAGATAATATCAAGCTAATTTTTTGTTTTTGTTTTTTAAGACGTATCTGTGAAATCTTCTATGTATAAAGGCAATAAAAACATGTATGTGGTAGGAAGAGATTCGGAATTGGGGACTTTAATTTATTGATGTTCAATTTATCAAGGTTTCACGGTATGGTAATTAAGAACACTTGATTATTCTTCAATGTAAATAACTCTATCGTTATGCGTACTAGCTTACTAACATGTAAATATGACACGTTTGGTAAACACATAATTCCTTAACCAGTTTTTATTATGCAGTATTGTGATACTATCACCTTACTCCAAAATTTGATTTTAATGTTACATCATTCAATGTAATATATAAAAATAGTCCCTCAGAAACAAACATTAGTAACTAAAGACACCTTCTTTCCTACCCTCTAATAGTTGTAAAACATCTTAACTTGTTGCCCACTTAACTTATAACTTACTTGAGATCTTAACTTAACTCGATACCTGCCATTATCTTGTATCAAGCGGGTTTAGTTTCACTTTTAGAATGATGGGGCCTAACATAAACAAAAAAACATCAACAGTGTCATAAAAGAGTCAGATTTTTGTTCCTGGGATCGCAAGAGTGTAACCAAGCAGGTTATGGTGGCAGAATCTATCCTAAATTAAAGGTGTAAAAGATCTTTCTCTCTTTCCCTACGTATCTGGCGGTTTCTACTCTCAAAACAACAAAGTAATATTTAAGAACCTATCTAGTGAAAAAATAAGGGTTGGCCTGGGCCTATCGTCTGTTTTCCGCTAATTCTAATTACTTGGTTCTTATTGTAAATTCACTTAGGTGGAGTGAACAGATTAAAAATTTACTTTTGAAACTTGACTAGGCCTATGTAATGTAAATTTAATATTAATTTTTATGTCTTTCCCAGAGCCACGTTACCTGTCGGTGAGTCAGCAACAACTTCTAGTCATCATTGCGATCTTCATAGGAACCATAACCACTATACTAATCTTACAGGTAAATGTTATTTGTCTTTTAGTATCAATCTAGTATATAATGCCTACTGTTGAGTTGAAATTATTATTTAGGATTTTACATCATCTTAAAGAAGTTGTCAGTGAACTTGATAATTAGTTGACATACCACACACGTTATAGGATCTCAATATATTGTTTCTGCAGGAGAAACAACCTCTTTAACTTACTCTCTGAATAAGTATTATAAGACAAAATATTAGTGTTATGTTTGTGACTTTATTGTAGCCTATATCTATTGGCCCCAGGGCGGGACTCTAACTTTCTCAGGCTAGCTGAACTCAATTCTGAAAAATTCCTTAATCAGCCACTTAGTTTTCTTTTAAAATATATACCAAACAAATAGACTATCCACATACTAGGTTGAGTTTTAATTTAGAACTATACTAAGCTTTTATTTTATTTAAATAAAATATTCTTGATTTAAATTTCAGTTGTCAAACTGTATTAAGTAAAGGTTTAAGTCACCAGTGTTGCTGTCACAAATTGTATCTATTGATTTATGATTGATATTGTTAAGCAAAATTTAGCACATCTTCAGAATCTTATCAAGAAGAGGTGAAAATAGAGGGGTTCCCCTGCAAAATTTGGTATTTTTAAAGCTGTTTGGTGGCTTTCTAAAGCCATTTTTAATGTCTAGAACTGGGTCTTAAACGTATGTTTAATTTATTTTTCCAGCGTCCCCTATAGCCCCCCCCCTTGAAACCGCCACTGATTTTAAGCTTAGTTCCTTCCAATTTATGTAGAGGGCCATTAGTTAAGTAATTTCTTGTTACCTATCCGTAACTTAATAGAACGATACAATTACAACAATAGCCTACTCTCTGCTATTATAACCAAACAATACACGTCATAAAATCTACCCTGAAATAAGACTTGCTAATATGAAACATAAATAAAAACTTTGGATTTTATAGTAGGAAAAAGTTTACCTATACTATTTAAAGTCAATACTTTAATGTAGATAAAACACCATTATCTCTGGCACTGCTAGAAGTAACTTTTCAATTAGTGATTGGGATGAACATTCTTAAAATCAATCAAAGAGGTACATGATGTAAAGCTAAAGTTTTACCTTTGTTTGTTTGTTCCAGGCCCAGATGGATCTCCGCGGAGACACAGTTCTGTGGATGAGATCCTGGGGTTGGCTGCTAACCTGAGTCTGAACGGACAACGGCAACGCAGCCTGAGTGATAGTGGAGGGACCAACGATAAAGAGACTGCCACTACCAATGGTAACGGTAAGTCTAATGATACTAGTGATAGTCAGAACAAGAACATTTGAAACCAAAACCAAAACTAAAAAATCAAATCACAAATCTCAAAACTCAAAAACAAAACTTAGGTGTTATGATTTAGGTTCTTTCTCGCCTGAGGACTCTAGATACCAAAACATCATGAAAACTTGCTTTTCATTAATGTTTTATAAAATTTCACCAATAACCCCTCGAAATAACTTGATGATCTTGTGTTTTATATTTTTCAAATGAATCACTATCCTTCGTAACTCGCAAGAAATGAAGTATCCGTTTCTTGTGTATTACGAGGCAATTAATGTATGGTTATAATCATATGATGGCACGGTTTTCTCCAATTTTCAACCATTACTGTGGGTAACTTAAAGTAAAAAAAATACTCAAACCAGGAATAATAATTAATTATGGATCTGTTGTTGTGCCTAACATGGCATGATCATCTCTTGAAACTTAAAAGAAAGATATGGCAAGTTGTATATTCTTTAAGAAGAATTATAAATCTGACAAACAAAGAAACTACTATAACAGCATGTCATGCCATCTTATCATCACATATGTAATCATAGCCTGGGTCTCTGCAAATAAAAATCACATCCAGAAAATAGTTACCTTACAGAAGAAAGCTATCTGAATAATTGAACAAATTAAACAAGCTGAAACACAAGCCCACTGCAAACCTTTTTCATCAAAAACCAAATCCTAACCGTAATTTCTCTTTATCTTTTTGAAATAATAACTTCAATCAGAAATCAGAAACGTTTTATTGTCCTTCAACATTTACAACAAATGCAATAGACAAAAGTCAAGAAAATTCAGCTATTACATAAACAGCCTATTTTTAGGCAAAACAAAACAAGCCTAAAAACAAGTCAAAATAGGCTATACTAATACATATGCTTACAAATAAAAAATAATGTGGAAATGTGAGGACATTAAAAGTTAACTTCGTCAACCTTAAAATATTCTTCTAAGTCATAAAAAGGATTTAAAAGTAACCAATCCTGAGCTCTTTTTTTAAATGACTTAAGGTCCAATTCTTTGGCATTGATGCTAAGCTTATTAAATAATCTTAATGAAATAACATGGTAACTATTTTTACATTTACTTAACCTACAATAAGGCACGTCTAATAGGAACTGTGTGAACACGTGTGTTGTGTGAATGGATATTAAACCTATAAACATGGGAACTAGTATTTTTCTTAACCCTAAGTAAACACATAAATATGTACAGATTAATCACAGTCAATATTCTACTTCTTATGAACAATGGCTTGCAATGCTCTTCAATTGGAGCTTTGTTTATTATTCTAACTACCTTCTTTTGGAGTATTAACACTTCACTTATGTGACTATTGTTTCCCCAAAGAATCAAGCCGTAGCTAATTATGGATTGGAAAAATACAAAGTAGGCTACCTTTATGTAGGTTTCAGGTACAACACCCATAAGATTTCTAAGCAAACAGATTACTCTGGACAATCTTGCACAAACCAAATCTATCTGAGGAGACCAGCTTAAACATTTATCAATTTTTATTCCTAAAACTGTAATTACATTTTCATTGTTTACATCTTGTGACTCTACTGGAATGTTTTTAAGACTACACAATAGATTTTGAGTTTTATTCTTATTAAGACAAAGGCTATTAGCATTAAACCACATATAAGCTGAATCAGTTGTGAGCTCAGTTACTGACATGAGATCATAAAAGTTGGGATGAACACTCAAAAAATTGGTGTCGTCCGCAAACATGATGGTAGAGGATCTTTTAATATTGGCTGGTAGGTCATTGATGACTGTGATAAAAAGAAGGGGGCCTATAATCGAGCCTTGTGGCACACCTGAGCTAACTTTCAAGCAGCTTGACACCTTGCCTCCTGCATCAACGAATTGAGTTCTCTCTCTCAGGTATGAATCAAAAAACTTAAGCTGTATACCACGGATGCCATAGTACTCCAGCTTAGTGATGAGTATGTTGTGATCAATACAGTCAAATGCTTTACTCAGATCACAAGCTGTGATCTGAGCAAAGCTCGACTCCTCAAAAGCTCTCAAAATCTTAGAAACAAGGTGGTCCAGGGCATCCACGGAAGACAAACTTTTACGAAAACCAAATTGAAAATTTGAAAAAAATTTTGTTTGTGTCAAAAAATGAACATACCTGAGGTTTGATGACAGCTTCGATGATCTTGCCAATTATAGGGACCAGAGAAATAGGACGATAATTTTTAATCTGTGATTTTTCCCCTTTTTTGAAAATTGGGATGACTCGAGAAATTTTTTGGGAGGTTGGGAAAACACCTTCTTTCAGACATAGGTTGATACAAAAGACAAGGGGCATTACTATTTCAAAGATAATGTGTTTAACAATATTGCTTGTGAGACCATACACATCTTTGCTTTTTGAGGATTTCATTTTTGACACTGCACTGAGCACATCATCACATGACACTTCATTCCACTCAAGTTGGGTGCTGGGCCTCTTCACTTGCTGCAGGAAGTGATCCGCAGGCAGGGGACTCACAGGAATGCTGGCTCGAACATCGTTTACAGAGTCGATGAAGAATCTATTGAAGTCCTCGGCAGAATGGTTGTTGCTGACCTCCTTCTTCTTTCCAGAAACTCGCCTTACTATCGTCCACGCTGCTTGGCATTTGTTTGCTGATCGCTCAATGAAGTCAGCGTTTGCGGCTAATTTAGCTCTGTTCGCAACGTTTTTATAGAGGTTTCTAAGTTCTTTGTAGGCACTGTACGAGGCATCAGTTCTAAGGTTCATGTAGACAGTACGGTAAGCCATAACTGTTTCCTTAAGTTTCTTGAGGTCATCACTATGCCAGGCCACTCCACTTTTAGGCCTATTGTCCTTACGTCCGGAAATCTTCTTTGCGGTTAGGTAACTAACAGGACAAGTTAAGTTGAAAATATCAATCAGCTTGTTAAAAAATAAATTGAAAGTCTCTTCAGCTGACTGATCGGCCGCACGGTTACTGTTCAGGATGTTAGGCCAGTTCACATTCCCCAGTTCAGCTTTAAAGTTGTTTAAGCACCTTGGGGAAAGACTGCGGTGCATAATTTCCTCAATATATGGTTTAGCAGCTTCTGATGCCGTTATTAGCCTCAACTCCAGGCCTTCGTGATCAGCTATGTCAGGGTGAACGATGTGTGTGGAGCAGGAGTTGATCGGGACATTTGTAAAAATATTGTCCAGACAAGCTTTTTTGCGAGTAGGCTTGTCATTTAAGTAAACACAATCAAATTGCCTGAGTAGGTTAAGTAATCTTCTAACACTAGGCTGATCTCGGGTAACATCAAATCTTGAGTTTACATCGCCACCAATAACAATATTCATCTTCAATTTACTCAGGTGGATCAGTAGTAGCTCCAGATTATTCAGAAATATAAGTTCATCCCCTGCAGGAGAGTGATATATACAAACAATTATAATTTTAGGATTGTCTAAAACTATTCCCACACATTCAAAGCTTATTTCATGACAATAACATTCAATGTCCAACACTTGGAAGGTAGGCCTAGTAGGCTTGCTATTATTGGCGAATATTGCGACGCCACCTCTTATATGGGTTTTACGACAAAATATCGATGAAAGCTCATAACCCTCAACGATAACATAACCTGCCTCGTTTGGGTTCAACCAATGCTCGCTAAGGCAGAGAATGTCATACTGATTACTCACAGCATGTAGGCCTAAGATGTTTTCCTTGGAATGTAACCCCTGTACATTAAGAAACAAGACATTAAGGTTATCGTTTACTGGGTTTAGGCTATGTTTGCCCCAGTCTCGGCCGTGCGTTGAGAGTTTAAATTGCGCCTTGGTAGTTTGAATTCACTGATGAAAGTGTTTTCCGGCCAAAAGTCCTCACAAAAAATGCTATCCCATAGCGATTCTGGAACACCAACTTTGAAGGAGTTATAGGTTGGATACTTGGTATTCAGCTTTTCAACAACATAATCGCCACTTTTGAATGATGTAAGATGGTTTACGACATCGGCCTTTTCGACCGAAGGTTGAAGTCTCGAAACAAAAATAAATTTAGTCCTTTTCACTGCCTTCAGGTTAGAACTGTCATTACTGTTTGTCAACTTACCAGTGCCAGTTAATACTTTCCGGGTGGGCCTGCCATTTCCTTTAGGTTTAGTAACAGTTTCTTGATTCATTAGTTCTGGCCTTCCATTTTCTAGGTTAGGATTAGACCTATTTTGCACGGTAGTTCTCTTCTTGTGCCTAACTGTCCTCCATGGGTTTCTGATGGAGTTAGAAGCACTCACTTCGGGGAAAGAGTCACTGGATATTACGTTATTTCCATTCACAGACGTCTTCTCAATATTCCAAACACAGGGTAATGGTTCACGGTCAAAATCTGCTTTCTTGGGGTTATCAACCGGCGTCATCATAACATTTTTGGTAGAGGAACCATCTTCCCGATCCTGATTCGTCTGCTTGGAACTGGTTGAACGGGAGTTGTTCTGGAGAGATGGTTCTGTCGCAAGAGTCTTGGTAGGTTGGCAAGTATCACTCAAAACTTGATTTAATTTAGATCTAATAATTTCGCTCTCACTTTCTAGTCTAGTGAGCCCTTCTGACATAGACAAGTTACTTTTCCTTATCTCGTTCAGCTCCTTAATGATTTGTGTCAGATCCGAAGCGTTCTGTGGGCAGTTCTTAGACGACTCATCAGTTCCGAATCCCGAGTTGTTCACGGAGTCGTTCGCCAGTATGATCGCAACTCGTTCTGAACACGATTGGCAGTACCAATTTATTCCTTTCATTTGAAAAATACACTTAAAATGATCGAAATTGGTTTTTGAAATGCTAGCACAGGCGATATGCCACCATTTTTTACACCACCCATAACACTTCACTGCGTTATGACGATTCTGGACTAGTTTATCGCACGAGCTACAAATACTTTCAGACTCACCACCCGCCATCTTGCAGACGAAAAAAAAAAAAGTCAATCAAATCTAATCCCCCTCAACTGAGAATCAATGTCATAACTACAATATAAGGAATAAAACAAACCTTGATTTAGGCTACCATAGGCTAAATAAAACCAGTATAATCCCAAACAACATGGGGATCAAATTGTTCAATCTTCTGTCAAACAAACTCAAAGAAATAAATTAAATGTAAAGCATTTAAAAAACAACTCAAACAATACGTGATTAAACGGCCTTACTATAAACTAACTGAGTTTATTGAAGAACGTAAATGTAGCCTAAACATGAAAAAGTTAAGCAATGCTCAATTCTACACTCCCACACACATACTCATACACACAAGAATTGACGATTCTCCTTTCTACAAGGATGGCGGAGAAGACACCAATGGTAAATGGTCATTTGTTTCTGTGTGTGCTGCAGGAGAAGGGCCGGAACCTGACCTGTTGTCGGACACTCCCCCAGTGCCGCCACGACGTAGGGAGAGAAAGCGACACACACCGCCACGGCCCGTCAGCAACGGCCTGCCTCCCACCCCTAAGGTCCACATGGGCGCTTGTTTCTCCAAGGTAAACCATAGATTTTTAGGAGGTTGTTATTGGTGTCAATGTATATTTGGTTGAGGTAAATTCATCTAGAGTACTCTTTAAGGTCAACCAGCTTTGACTGTCCAAGTTTTGAAGAATGTCTTGATTTTGTTTTTATTGTTATGAAGGACATGACGATAGAGGATAATCTTCATAACAACCATTATCATAAGGATAGTTGTTAAAATTCCCCAATAAGCCCAAGTATATCACCTTACAATGAAATTAACTTTATAGCTAATGCTTTGATAAAGAAGTCATATCTGCAAAAAAAATTTGATTAATTTAATTTGTATTGTGAAAATAGGATCGAGTCTGTCTTTTTGCGGTTTCTCATCCGGTTCTCTGTCCAATGATTAGTCGTGGTTACCGTATAGATAAGTACATCACTGTGCTCTGAATGATTATCTCTCATGTTTTGCGTGTTGCAGGTGTTCAACGGATGTCCACTAAGGATTCACTGTACAGCCAGCTGGATACACCCGGACACGCGGGACCAACACATACTGATCGGTGCGGAGGAAGGGATATACAACCTGAACCTCAACGAGCTACATGAGACAGCCATCGACCAGCTGTACCCGCGCAGGACGATATGGCTGTACGTCATCAAAGATGTGCTCATGTCCCTCTCAGGTATGATCAAAACCTTCAAATGTAATAGTATCTGTATTTTATACATTTGTTGTCTCATATTGGGCAAGGAATTCCGGATTTGGTTTACGCGTTATTTCTGGCAAGGGCTAGAGGGTTGCTACATTATGACTTAAAGTACATAAAATCCATCGGGGGTTATCAGGTTTTGTTTCAGGATTAAAGTCCCACACTTAACCAGTAGACCATCTAGCTCCCCAGTATTGGAAATGTCCTCTGATATGTTTGTTTTTGGCTTGGTATTCCCTAAATCAAGTAGGGAAATTTCAACTTCTAGTCAAAAAGTACATTTCAGCCCCACACTTAAATAATATTAATAATAATATATATAACAATAAACAATAATATTGTGTTTGAGAATCGCAAAGTTATCAGGAAAAAAAGTTAAAAACTAAACTGATACATAAAATAGTAAAATTTCATCTTGTTTGTTTTATAGTGACTACATTTACAACGTAACACTGAAATGTGTAAATTCAACTTTTTGAAAAAAAATGCGTAACTCTGGTAGTCTGGTCTCGAGCAAGTAGTGATAACATCCAAATAGCAAAGGCTGTATCGTGTTACTAATAAATTCTATTGTCCTCTACCAGGGTTAGGGTTGTTCACAGAGCTAGAAATGACACTCTCAAAAGTAATTTTGCGTTAGTACAAATGCTCTACTGGTCGCCAAATAATCCAGACTGCCTGGTTATTCAGCAGGAAAATTTTCAGGACGTTTCTGTATCACAAAAGCCCAATCGTATGGCTTTCTGATAGAGTTGTTTCACAGAAAGTGTCCCTCCTCGTCTTTGAATTATAACTTAAATTTTTGATTTTCTGGATAGGTTGCTGTACACCTTAACACCTGAACACCTTGGCTTTGAGCCAAAGGCTTTATCAAAAAACTGTAAGCCATTGATGATTACTATTAGTTGAATCTGAGTAGATATTCGAACCTCTGGATATTTTCGGGCTATTTTAACCGAGGATAGGCGTCGCTTGGTCTATTCATCACACCATCCTTGCCCCATAGCCCAATGTCACAGTGCAAACTTTTTCCTTTCTGGTAAATGTGTGATATTCAGTGAGATTTGGTCATTTATAAAAAATGGTTTCAAACATTCACATTCTTAATGTGCATGTTCATCAAATAATTTTGAACCTCAATAAACACTCCTGACACACCTTTTGTACTCAGTTTACTACTTTTCTATTGTTTTTCATCCTTATTATAGGTCCTAGGCTTTTGAGGGGTTCCAGGAATAAAGGTATTTTCAAAATGTTTTATGTAGCACATCGAGCTAAAAAGTGGTTTTCATTTGTTTTAAAGTCAAAACATTCTTTATTCGTTGTTTTGTAGCGTTAAAACATTGAACATGTTTTTATTTTATAAATTAACGACGTTTTGATTGGATTGAACAATACACGGACACTTAAGACAGTCCTATTGTTAGTTTTGTGTTGTTTTTTTATGTTTCGTGCTTTAAAAACTAACGTTTTTTTTTTAAGAATTTAAATATAACATTGTCCATATTCGTTTTGATTTTAAAATAACATCCAAATTTAATAATCATTGAATACCATATATCCAAATTAAAATTGTGTTTTGCATTACATTTCTCACTTATTTACTAGCTAAATCTAGACATTTATAGCGAGCCAATAAATGTAATTCATAAATTAGTTACTGAAAGTTGCGTACAGTTTGCATTTTTCCAGTATTTATGTTTTTGCACATTCACACACACAGTTGTTGGCTTTCCCTTCAAGATTAGTGCTTTTATTCAGCCACTTATACAGTAGTTTGCATAGTACGGTATGCTACCAAGATAGGTAGTATTTTACACAGTAAGCAGTTATGAGCACGTTTTTGAAATTGAAAAGTTTACGGGCCGTGTCCTTGATTGTGGAGCGCTAAATGTAAAAAAAAGGCTTGTCAATTTCAGACCGTAACCAATCTTCATAAAGCACCACACAAACCGACCGGTATCAGCAAACTGACACTTCCTTTCTCTCATGAGTTTGACATAAAAATTGAATATCCTGTTACTTTTATGAGCAAAACCCATTGTACTGAATAAGTGGAGGAGGTAACTGTGAACTTATTTATGGGAAAAGTAAAAACACTTTTGAACTGTTATTTGTACAGCAGTGTGGGTTGTGCCATTTTGTCAAGGTAACAAGGGCTATCACATACCAAATGTTAATAAATATAATTTGAGCTTTTTTCAGATAATCATATTTTCCCATTATTTTATGGGTTTTCATGGGAAAATCACCATTAAAAATCAAAGTTAGATAAACAAATTTAAAAAAAAACTGAAGATACCACCTACATACCAAATTTCATCCAAAATGGACCATAGTTGTGTACTGCTGTACTAAAACTATTTTTTTTTTTTGTTTAAGGCGATACAAAGCAAATAGTTTTGCCCAAAACTGAAACTTGAAAATGTTTTTAAAAAAACAATACTTTCCCCAAGTACTTTGTAGCCTCAAGAAGGAAGAAAGTAAAAAATAAGGGTTGAAAGAGTAAATTATTGCTAAACCTATGTTGTATTGCAGGCAAGACACCACAGTTGTACAGGCATGACTTGTTGGCTCTCCACAGCAAGCAGAGTCACAGGTTCACCATGCACATGAACAGGATACCTGAGAGACTGGTGCCTCGCAAGTTTGCTCTCACTACAAAGGTAACATTCACACATTTGACTGTAGTTGTTACTGTACTGACACAATACAGGCAAGACACTACAGTTGTACAGGGACGGCTTGTTGGCTCTCCACAGACATTTAGTACTAGCCTAATGAAGACCCTGATGTGAGTTGTAACGTTGTAACTAGCGCCCTTCTGCAATGTCCTAGATCACATAATGCAGGTATTTTACACCCATTTATAATGATTACTATTAACTGTGTTGCAGGTACCAGACACCAAGGGATGCACCAAGTGTTGTGTGGGTAGGAACCCTTACAACGGCTACAAGTACCTGTGTGGCGCCATGTTCAATGGCATCTTCCTTATGCAGTGGTATGACCCTCTCAACAAGTTCATGCTACTCAAGGTACGTACAAATTGTGTTGGTTGATTTTCTAAAATTGTTGTTATCGCTATGGGCACATTTTGTTAAATGTCCTCATAGAAGTGAGAGAGTCAATTGTCCTGGTAGCTAGGTGTTTATAGTGCTTGCCTTCTCTATGAAAGGTTGCTAACTCGATTCAAAGCAAGATTGTTTCCATTTATCATTATGCTATCATCTAATGATGCAATCCAACAAATGGAAGAGATTAAATACTTTTGGGTTTGGACTATTCCCTTACAAAAAAATTATGAATGCATAGATTAGATAGACAAAGAAATAGAGCTGTTTCAATGTAAGGATTGTGAGTGGCAATGTGTCCATCCTTAAAAGCTGTAAGCTCGCTGGATTGCTGGATTAACAATAGGGAATTAAAGGTTATATATTATTACTTATAGACACCAGGTAATTTTGTGCAAACCGAACCTCAGCCAAATTCCGAAAAAAAAACTTCCTATCAATAGACGATAATGCTTTAGTTTTGCCAAACACTCCCTAAAGCCTTGGACCGGTACTGTCTGTAGATGCTGGATCACCAGAATTGTACTGTAAACTCAATATGTAAAGCCAATAATGGGAACTTGCAGTATTACAGAATAACTGTTAAGACCTTAAAGTGTTTAGATGGTTTTCAAGATTTATTAGAAAGACATGATATTGCTTGCAGCATGTCGAGTGTTCACTGGCCCAGCCTCCGAGTGTGTTTGAGATGGTGATCACACCAGAGCTGGAATACCCGATGGTGTGCGTCAGTGTGAAGCAGAGCTACGACAAGCACAGACTCAAGCTGGACCTCATCAACATGAACTCCGGGGCCAGCTGGTTCCACAGCGATGAGCTCGAAGATATGGACGGCCAAGGTAACGTGTTGAAACTACCAAGTATATGATCAGGAAAAGCCTACCAAGTATGTAAACATTATTGAGATTTAAAAACCTCCTCATCCTACTCTCTGAAGAAGTCCTATATGAGGACAAAATATCAATGTTGTTATTTTTGTGCCCCTGTAGGCTACTCTAATTTTCTCAGGTAAGCTAACTGAACTCTAATTTAGGGGTGTACAAATATTCAGACTTTTTCAAATTTTTAAGAATTTGCCAAGAGTACAAAAGATTGGTAAAATAGAATACAAACAACTGACATGACACGGGCGCTGCAGAGGCAGCTCAGATGAGTCGAATCCGAATCTCAAATCAATTGAATCCTAAGAAAAATTCGGATTCAAGATTTGATTACCAGATTTGAGAATCGCTGACAGAATACGCCGACTCACCGCCAGCTCTATAATAACTTGTATTAGCAGTTTCGATCCACGCAAGGCTGGAACAAAGCCAATCTCGGTCTCAAAACTCAAGGCCATGGTTAGAATTAAGTCCTAGTAGAATATTAATTGTATTTTAATAGGGATAGGTTGATAACAGAATTTCTCGAGTCAATACCAGTTCTGAAATGTTACTCACGATTCTCAATACCGATTCCATATAAAAAATTATATTTTTGAGGAAGTTGCCATGGTCAATGTTTTGTTGTTCAATTAAATTCTGAATCAGACAACTGGCGTAGATCATGCCGAACCGCACTTGCTTTTTACGAAACGATAATATTCGTAGTCTGAAAACATCCAAATGGAGGTAATACTAGCACGGCAACTCTGCAAAAAAATTGAGACGCTGTATATGTAATATAACTTGAGTATTTTATAAATTATTTCTTGTATGAAGTTAGACCTGAATGTTTCACTTCAATTATTCATGTAGGTTGTACAACGAATATATATGTGGTAATAAAAACCGTTATATGTATATTTTTTTTAGGAAAACAAGGTACATGTATGATATCATTCTTTTCCTCATCAAATTGTGCACAATTTGTATATTTAGAACAATTATTTTGAGTTCATTGATTTGTGTTATAATTAGGGGTGTGCGAATATTCGAAATTTCGAATTGAATCGAATAGTAAAACTACTGTTCAATTCGATTCGTTCTATCTGCGAGGATTCGATTTTTTGAATAGTTCGACGGTAGTCGAATAGTTCGGACCTTTTCGAATACTTCGCATCTGGTCACATAATTAGTTGGAGCTTTGGAAAGCATAAAACAAATCAAGTTGGCCAAAAAAGTGTTTCAAGTAATTAATAAAAAATTACCATCGGGCTAAAATAGGAATAGTAATCAGTTTCTATCGACTATCGAGTGACAACGTTTCATTTTCAACTATTGTGTAATCGTGTCGTGAGTTTCCGATGAAATAATGTCCTCCGCCATTAACCAAATAAACAAGGTCGGTAAAATAGTTCCATTCTAACTTGGTTTGAAAATAAATAAAAACTGTTAAGCTGCTTCAGATTAAATAAAAATGCAATACAATATTTAATAAAAACTCACTTAGATATTTTATTTTATTATTTTTCAACATTATTAAACTCGTTATGTGCTGCAAAACACTACGTTAGCATTCATCTGCCTTCATTGTTCTTGGCGATGGCGATCGGGTTCAAGTTACGTTTTGTTCTGGGATCACGGTAGACCTACATAAATCTAGCATATGACATTGATGTGTCTATTTTGAGTGAAGTAAAACTGAAAAAGTGATGGCGAATGAGATACCGGAACAAATTATACTGAGTTCTCTTATATATGGTACCAAAACGCGCACCGTCCCGTCACCTTTATAAACTTGAAATATGATATATACAAATGTTGTCTGCTAGATAGATTTGCCGTGATCCCAGAGTAAAACGTAATTCGCACTTGCTATGGAAGTCTGCTTCTATTCTTCTGCTTCTCTAGCAGACAACAATTTCTGTTCTTTCTTTTTTCTATTGCATTAGCGCAAGCTGTGTTGCTGTGTTACAACTTACAAGACAAGAAGTTTTGAGGTTGGAGTTTAGAGACAGTTTGTTTAGCACGTCTGCACTAAGTATTTCAGCTAAACTTAGTAACAATTTTTGTACATTTTGACAACAGTTGCTTTTATACAGTTGGATATTGCCTAAAAGTTGTAGGCCTAGGCTTCATTTAAGTTTGGTTAAATGACACAAGATGGATTCAGATGAAGAAGCCGATTTAGGCCTAAATGTGCCTTCAACATCATCACAAGAATTCAAAAATAAGTAAAGGAGTTTAATTTGGGATTTTTTTGTCAAAAAGGGCTCTGTTGCAGAATGCAACACGTGTAAAAAGTCCTTAAAAGTAGGTTAAAAGTTAATAATTATACATTTCCTTTGTAACTTAATAAACTCATTCTAAAAATGCCTAAGTTTACAAAATTTTTTATTGGTAGTGCTTTATAATTTTGACTAATAAAACTTGGTTCAGGTTTGTATCTTTACTTATTATCTAAGTTCAGTTACCTATTGAATTAAACTAGGCCTAAATTAAATAAACAAAAGTTACATTTACAATCTACACTTATTCTGAAAAAAATATACCAACAGTTTTAGTAATTAAGTTATTGAGAGTTGACTTGATATTGATTTCAAGTTTTCATTATTTGAGGTTAGTATTCGGTTAAAAAATGTTCACTATTCGGATACTATTCGAGGGAAAGTATTTGATTCGAAAAAATTTGAATTAGATTAGAAATTCTCTCTATTTGATTCGTATTCGATTCGAAAAGAAAAAGTAGTATTCGTACACCCCTAGAACATATACAGAATATACAAAAAAATTTTTTGTAAATTAAAATTTAATATCTAAAATTTATATAACATTATTCCTTGTTTTATGCTGAAAAATATTATATATTATATGATATATTTACAAACTTATTTACTGTATAAAAATGTGTTATAAAAAATTTTGCGTGAGTGCAACCCATAAAAGACCCCTTGCGACCACAGTATAAAAGACCACCAGCTCGAGGATTAAGATAACCATGTCAGTAAAGTTCTATTTTTCTCTTTTACAGCTACAGTCATTCCAAGGAGAGAAAACTTGCAGATCATCAATGTTACTCAATTAGAAAAAGACGCAATCTTAGTTTGTTATTCAAGTAAGTAAAGCTGTAACTTCATGGTATGCAATACAGGAACCGCTAAATACTAAACACTTGAAATAATACATTGAATACAATTCATTACACAACCTCTTTCTAACTTGTGCAAGAATCATTATAAGTTTTTGAAATGTCATGTTGGTTTTTACCTTCAACCAAAATGATGATACCATGTTAAAATAACACCATGACGTTTTGTGTAGGATACATTACCCAGGATTGGTCTTGTTCGAAATATTGAAATTAATTTGACCAAATTTGAGCTGGTGTATTGGCTCACGTAACATCACTCGATGATTATTACCTAACAAGATTGTTTGTGCTTGTTATTTATTTATCTTATTGTCTTTCCACAGATGTTATTAGGATAGTTACCCTGCAAGGAAGACTGAAGAGTAATCGTAAGCAAATATCAGAACTGCAATTCGACTTTCCAGTAGAATCTATAGGTAACTACGATAAGTTGTCATATATATTTCAGTAATTCCTTAATAGAAAAATAAGTGAGTTTTACCAACAAATATAGTTTTAATTTTATAATAATTTATAACTTGACTTTTAATCATGCTTTCAAATGAAAATAATTTTATTTTTTTGAAAAAATTTCCCAAAATATTTTCAGCAATATTTTCAGGCAAAATACCTTAAACTTTAACAATTTTCTAGTAAGAAATTATGTTCACAGTAATACAACTCCGATTTTTGTAATATGAGAACACCAGATTCACCCAAATCAATTTAATTTAAGAAACAATGTTTGCTTCTATTTGACTATTGTTAGTCAAATTTGCTTATTGTTACAAAATAAACTGTTTGGAAGCTACGTCCTTATTTGCTTGATGGTTAGTTTTTGCCTTACAATCTCCAGAATCAAAATGAAGAAGAACAACCAGGTTTAAAAATCAAGCCGGTCAAAACAATAAATAGACTTAGACTATTAAGGTACCTCTTAGATGCCTTACGTCATTAGTTTGACAAGTTGTGGTCATATTCACCCAATTCACAACATGTTTTGCCTCTTCAGGTATTATGAAGTGTTCTTTACAAGAATGTTTTGTCCAAATTAGATATGTCAATTACATTCAAATAAATACACATTACACATGCACGAAAAACAGGCAGACTCAACTTCCGTACCGCGACTGGTTGATAGTAGGCCTTCTCTAAATAATCAAATGTGTTTGTAATGTGTATATGTGTGAACATTGGGGTGGAATGTCTAGTTATACACATCGAAAGCTAATACTCCGTAACATTGAAATTTCACCTCATTACATTTTACCTTGTTTGTCAACCATCATTAAGTTAGTATGTTGACACATATCTACTATTTTTTTCCAGTTTGTCTACCAGACAGTGTTCTTGCTTTTCACAAACATGGAGTGCAAGGCAGGAGTCTGAAGAACGGAGAAGTTGTTCAGGAGATTGTGGACAAAAGTCGAAGCTACAGGCTTCTCGGATCCGACAAGTATGTTGACTATAATAGATTCAAGATCCAAAATAACATCCATTTTTCATACATGTGTACATAGAATAGCGTCAATTTAAAAATGTTTCTAACTTACTACATTATACAAAGACATTATATGTTAATGATTTCACTGCATTATACATGAAATAGACATAGAGATAAGTTTATATCATTATATTAATTTAAAAAACTCATCTAGAGAGTACAACGGTTTGGATAGCATTAAACTTTTCAGTTTTTTCTTAAAAACATTAAAATCTTCTGTGGATTTCAAATCCACCGAAAGAGCATTATAGAATCTAATACCTGCATAGGAAGGTTTCTTTTCATATAATTTAAGATTGTGGCTTGTATAAGCAAATACTCTATTGTTTCTAGTATTATAACTATGGTTTTGAGACCTAACGTTTCTATTCTATGAGAATTCTTTTTTATAAACAAAATAAGTTCAAAAATGTATAGACTATATACAGTAAAAAATTCTAATTCAGTAAATAGGTGTGAAAAAGGATAGGATAAGCAGGCTTACCTTAAGAAATGTAGGCATCCCACTTCATTCACTATAGAACACGGTTCTGTAGTGCTTGTAGAACACGGATGTAGAACACGGTTCTACATCCGTATGGGATCCGTACATGGGATGCCTACATTTCTTAAGGTAAGCCTGCTTATCCTATCCTTTCTCACTTCTATTCTCAGGCAATTAGCCCTTTCTCTCCAAACCTAATTCAGTAAATAGGTGTTTAACAGAATCATCCCAATTTAGCTTTTAAATTATTCTTATTGCTTGTTTTTGAAGGATAAGAAGTTCATCTAAATTTTCATTTGAGGTATTACCATATAAAACAATACCAAAAGCGATATGAGACTGTACAAGGGCATGCGTGATAAAGGGTTTTCATTGTAACCAAACTGCTAAATTTAGAAACCTTCCTTAATGCAAATAAACCAGAAGCTAACTTTTTAGAAATCGATAAAACATGATTATTCTAATTTAAGTTTTTGTCTATTATTCGGCCCAAGAATCTAGAATTATTCACCTCTTCCAACACATGATCATTAAGAAATATTGTCAACTCAGGTGCAGGTATAATTCTAGAGCAAGCTGTAAAAGTGATGAACTTAGTTTTATTAGGATTCAGTAGCAAGCATTTTTTGTTAAAAGCCTGTTCTAAGGTTGAAATCTGGTTAAAACTGGAAACTTCGATTTCATCAAGAGTTTTACGTGATATCAGCAAATTTATATCATCTGCATACATTGTGATATTATCAAAAGGTGTGATGCTAGGTAAACCCTTAAGATAGCATAGAAAAAGTAATGGGCCCAGAATAGAGCCTTGAGGGACTCCGAACTTAATATCTTTAATATTCAAATTATGGTGAATTAACTGATTAAATGATTAAGATGTTTAATTTCAACAAACTGTTTTCTGTTTTTTAAATAAGAGTCAAACCATGAAAAAGCCCTATTTTTTATTCCCAGTTTTTGAAGGACTACAAGTAGTCTTGAATGTGATACGCTGTCAAAAGCTTTACTAAGATCCATAAAAATACCAATTGTTTTATTACCCTTATCCAAAGAATTTAAAGCTGACTCAATAAAATCAATGCTGGCAGTTATTACTGATTTCCCGGCCCTAAAACCATGCTGTTCTTTGTCTAACAGTTTGTTACACTCTAAAAATTGTTAACTGAATAGCCATAACTCGTTCATAAATTTTGGAAAAAACAGGAAGTAATGACAGTGGGCGATAATTTGAAACTTCTTTACAGTCATCTGCCTTAAATAGAGGTTTTACTTTAGAAATTTTTAACTTGTCTGGAAAAATACCTGATATTAAAGATGAATTTATTAAATGACACAACGTTAGTAACAGATAGGTTCTGGCATGTTTTATGATTGTTATAGGAATATCATCATAACCGGTTGAAAACTTATTATTGAAGGACATGATTACTTTTTCCAGCTGATTAGGCTCTATACTAGTTTGAACAAAAACTTTATCAGTATAATTAGGCAAAGAAATGTTGGAAGAAGCTGCAACTTGATTCAACTTAAGAATTACATTTGTCTCAACTAGATTAATATAATGATCATTAAACATATTGCTAACTAACTACACAAGGATCTTTTATTTCTGATCCATCAGAGTTCAGTGCTATATTTGTTTCATTCAATGTGCTTATTTTTAATATTAATTTCTTCTCCAATAACTTTCCAAGTAGTTTTACTAACATTTGAAGATTCTCTAATTTGTTTTTCGTAATGTTTAACTTTACTGTCAAAAACTTTTTTTTTATACTCCTTCTTCTTGACACTCCTACTTAAATTAATATCATGAGATGACCTGCTTAGTTCAGTTAAATTTTTTAGCTCCAATTGCAACTCATACAAATCATAAGTTATCCATTTTTTCTTATTTTTACAGGGTTTCCTACATTTTACTTTTGGAAAACATATATTAAAATAATATAAAAAATATATATAGAAATACATCAAACTTAATTTCAACTGGGGCACAATATACATTTAACCAATTTTCTACAGGCAACATGTTTGAAAATTTTGCTATATTTTATTCTGTAAAACTTCTTTTATGCATCGTTATATACTCATTATCATTTCTAAAAGAATTTTCTAAATTTACTTCAATAATTTGTGCATCATGATCAGATAAACTAGAAATTAAACCTTCAGAGTAATTTGTTATTAGTGAATCCACCAAAACATTGATATTTATGTCCCTACCAATTATAATAAATTTACATCTTTTTATCAAAATGTTAATTAATGCATTTAGGCGTTTCAAAAATTCAAATGGATCTGATGAGGGTGAGCGATACACACCAACTACAATAATTTTACAACCATTTAACTTATAACTATCAGCACAGAATCCAAAAATGTTATCTTCACCCAAACATGTATCAGATGTTGGCAAGACCTAGCCTACCAGAGATACCCTCCTCGGATATAAGTAAAATATAAGCTGTAAAAGTATAAATATAAGCTGATAGGTTTTTATGGTTAAATTTATGACAGGGAGAGTAAATAAAATATGTCTAATAACTCTTTAACATATGCTTACACTTATACTGATTTTAAACATGGCATTATATGTTTTTATTCCCCCTATACAATATGCATTTTAAATCCGATAATTTTACAATAAAACAGCAATTCTGCAATTTTTACGATGTGAAAAGCGTTGAAGTGAGATTTGCAGCCGATTCGCACAGACGCACACTGATTATAAGTAGCCTACAGTAGAGAGAGTAATAGTCAATAATTGAGAAGTGTATAGACCTAGTCAACGATACCACCTTCCATAGCATACCTGCCTCTTCCATAATTATTATCACCAAAATACAACTACTATACGCAATTTCCAGTAGGTCTGAATAGAAACGACCCAAAATAAAACGATAATATTCAATAAAATTCACAGTACACATAATTTAGCTTTGGTGTCCTAACATCAAAACTAACCGTAATCGTATCCTTTATATAAATTTCACTGCATTAATTGCTAAATAAATAAGTGTAAACAAAGAAAAGTAAAAACAATAACAGATTGTTTCGAAACAGCTGTTTGGATCAAATAACATTCACTTGAAAAAAATAACTGGTCACATGTAGCAGGAATATAAAAAGTAAACACGCTAGTAAAGCTAATGACGTAATTGTCAATGTTTATTATCCATACCGTTATCAGTTCTATCCTTGATAATTTTAATTACCCACCCTCATTGAATAAATGTAGCCTACATCGTAATTTCCCATATTAGTTAATTTAAACTACAATATATTCATAGTTGAAATAAAAGTTATATTTTCATGTTTGGGGACGCTGATATAGGCAACATGACTGAACTTTGAACTTTAAACAAACAAACACACAAACTTTCACATTTATAATATTAGTAAGATTTCTCCATTTTGTAGAAGTATACTAAGAGTTTTAGATTTAGTTGTAATACTTTATACACATTTTTTTGCAAAATTTTAAGTTTTATTCTAAATTTTTTATTTTAAAATGTGAAATATGTCAATCGGCCATGATAGTCTCCTTTGACACTGTTTGCTTTATAAATAAGCCTTGTAAAAACTCTTCTTTAGACCCGTTTACGAAAATTACGAGGCTTGTCCCGTAATAGTTTTATTTTTATTAGTTTTTCCTAAAACATTGTAATAGTTTAATTTTTTGTTTCTTTTTCTATCGGCCCTAATGAGTTTTTGTCTTTACAGTGTCTCATTGTCACAGAACTCAATCACCCGTCTAATTAAATACCTCTCTCCACTATGTATGGTCGAGCTTTAGTTTTTCCATAGCGGCAAGCAAAGTACAAATAAAAACAGATATCACTGCGAGAAGACAGGAGACTGGAGACTGCACTGAAGCAAATGATGTGACCTCTCTCTCACCATAACAAAGATAATATAATATGAGTAATGATGTTTACAGATACATACAGTAAATATGCCGAGGCGAGGCGCCCTCATGCTCAGCGCCTGCAAGTAGCGTGCAATAACCTCCAAACACTGCTGCATTGGCCCTGGCTCGCGGACAGTACTTGTACGTAAGGCTAACTCAGTTAATTGATGTTTCAGAGTTGTTATGTTGGAGTCACATCCTCTTATAAAACTAGGAGGAACGCTCACAAATGAAGAAGGCGCAGATCTTTACATTTTAGCCGGCCATGAAGCCAGCTATTAATAGTCCAACTCCACAAATTTATTTTACATTATTTGTTCCTTTAATTTATTTTACTGTAAAATATATAAATATTCTAAGTATTGTTGAATTCAGGCCTTAACAATCTGTGTTACATATTTTTGTACTATGATTTGCAATGTATTATTTTAACTATTTTCCAATGCGGATGTACAGTATTTTCAATGTATCGGTTCCGTACGAAATGTAAACTGAGTGTTTTTTCCTCTTTTTGTGACTACAGATCGTCCAAAAACTAAAAGATGTCTTTCAGTTTTTTAGTCTTTAACTGTCAAAGGGGTTATAAAGTTTTAAGCTCTTGCTGCACTCATGCAAAAGAAGTGTGTATTAAACGCAATAAGTTGTAAAAAGGTTTATTTATAACATAGGCGTTTTGTAAATCTTAAAAGTAATACCTATTTTATCTCCTTGGTGTGTCTCCCCTTTTACAACGACTAACTCAAAACTATCTTGACATTAAAAACTCAGCCTGTGAAAAATCTATGTAATAAAACTTTCAACTATAAATCTAACACTTTCAAATTTATATTGGGAACAGTTGTTGTGTGTTTTGTAAATAGATCAACATTTTTTCTTACTATCATTATTGCTGTTTCCATTATAAAATTTCACATTCGTTACCAAAGATTGTAATCACTCACAAAAATATTACTATTATAAAAACCCTTTCCTGTAAATTATCAAACCACATAGATGTATTTTTCTGTATAGTCAGTTGTAATATATTATTTTTGTAAATATACACCATTCCTTTAACATTAAAAAACACCAGCTATATTGAATAATATAGATTTCGGTATTAGATAAATATTTAATGGATAAATAATGAATTAATTAGTTTTCCTTACATAGTACAAGTGTATCTATGAGATAGCTGTGTTTAGATTGAGCTTTGTGAATAGAATAATATTAGACATATCTGCTCATAATTCAGCTCAAATGTGGCTATTTTCAATCATTGGATTTTTAAATGGCAAAGGAATAAATGTTGTGTGCCTTTATAAATTCAGTTGTTTCGATCAAGAATAGGCATTTAGCGGAGAAGTTTTAAATAGTTTAAGATATAATCCAAAGAGTAAAATATGAAAGTATTTTTAACATATGTGTCTAATTATCAAATCTTTATCACCTCTGGTAAGGTTGCATGCCAAACTTGACTTTGCTAGGTTAGAATATTACTTGTCAAAGTCGTGAATAAGAACTTAAGGCTGGTTTGCATTGATAGTTTAAAATGTGTGTTAAATAAATCAAATAATTATTTACTTTTTTACTTTATACCATTCCCACTTTAAAAAATCATTAAATCAGTGCTATATTCTTTGAACACGGTCATCTGTGGTTAAAAACACATACTTCCAACGGTAGAGATTGGTGGGAATCTGATAAAAAAAAAAAAACTGTTGAAAATATCAAAAGTAAATGTATTTAACCTACACACTGATGTGCGCCAAGGACATGAGTATAATGTTTTTTTGGGTAAAATAATTTCAATTTGAAAGTTGGTGTATTACAAAAAGTAAAAAGGCAGTCTTAACAAAACAGAAAAATGACTTGAAATTCTCCTCAGCTGACCTGTATGGATGACAAATCTATAAATAAACGATCAGCAATCTCACACATACTTTCTCCACTTTTTGACTAAATAATTTTGACGAAAACAATAATTTCTCCATATACTATGTATAGGGGGAGAAAGTATAAACTGTGTTACTCTATCATATAAGGTATTTACTCAGGGGAGGTATAGAAGAGGCTACGATGACAGCTGTGGGCTTCTTATTAGCTGAGGGAACGCCATTACCGTAACAAAACGGTAGGTAGCCGTCGGCCTCGGTGGTCTAATGGTTAGCGTACCGGGCTGATATTCTGTAGGTCCCGGGTTCGAATCCTGCTGGTAGCATTAACTTTTTGTCCAAGATTTTTTTTATTATCAGCAAGTTTGGTTGGTTTGGTTCGGTTATTACAGTTTAATTTTATTATTAAGTCATTATAAAATTTTAATCGAGCAAATTCTAGTTTTATTTAATAAACAGAATTATTTTTCCGATTACCAAACTTTTGTTATATTATTTCTTTATCAGCAAGTTTGGTTAGTTCGGTTAGGTTATGATAGTTTAATTTTACAATTAAAAAATTATAAAATTGAATTTGAGACATTTATAATTTTATTTTATGAACAGAACTATTTTTGCGATTAGTAAACCTTCATTGCCAAAGTGCTCTCTACTACAGCGCTGTTCACGGAGGAATTTTGAACTAAATGCCTCATTCATACCTCCCCTAAGTCAGACCCATCATATAACACATATAAACTTATCCAACAAATACAAGGATATTTTAGTTTTTAATATGAAGAGGGAGGTCCGTAAAGTGAGCTTTTATCCAAAATCTGATGTTTTCCCAAATAATTTAATTTTTTATTCAATATCCTCGTGTACAAAAATAAGATATTCCTTTTCACTAAACATAATTTAAGTTTAAAACTATGTAAATGCCAGTCACTAAATTTGTTTCATATTTTTCTTGCAAGGCTTACATTTTTTAATCTGCAAATCTCTTTGAAAATTAAAACACAATGCAAACCGAGCCTGCAATCCTCTGTGTTTTGGCAAATGTTCTATTTAACTTAAATATTTCTTTTCTTAACTATTTTGCCATTCTTATTTTTGAGATTAGTGGTTTTTCACACATCAGTTGATAACAGTTTAAAATTAGTTCAGTTAGGGATGAATATTTAATTTATCACACCATTTTTCAGTATTCTTATTAGCAATGTGCACAAGCAAGTTTAAATATGAATCTGATATAGACTAAGACTAAGAAGATATAAAAAGCATGTTTAATTTAAAACATTTTCAACAAATTATTCAGTTTAACAGATTGATTTTTTATAGTCGAGTTTTAACTTCATATCCTTTCAAAATAGTCGTGGATATTAGTCAAATAATTTTCCTTTATCAAATCCATAAATAATTCTTTCAAATATAATTGTTGTGGTGAAAGCACACCTGTATAGTGACTACAAAGATATATTATGTTTCATTTTATTAATATTTTTATATTTTTGTAATCGTTTTTTGTAATTTGGTCGGAATAATACAATTTGTTTAACAAACTTGTCATTCCATTGCTTTATGTTAGTGTTTTTAAGACTAAAAAAATCAATTTTAAATATAGGCCTAAGGTTTAAAAATGCTTTAGTAAATGTATCTTATCAATTCATAAAGTTATAAATAATTATTTAAAATTAATTTGTATATTGGCTACTCATTTTTTAAATCACAATTCTTATTATAGTTTAATTAATTTTGCTGAACAAATTGTTAGCATGCAATACATGGTGAGTCCACAACGTTACACTTATTATTATAAGAAGGAATAATATTGTTATTTTAAATTATGTGGGAAATAAGTTTTGCTGCAATTATCTTAATCCAGTGTGGATAAAATGTGATATTGAAATTGGATTGTTTAACCAATGCCAGCCGGAAAGATCTTTTGGCACAACAGAAAGAGTGTATACAAATTTATATTTTTTCTACTACAAATTGGAGAGGTTATCCTCTTTTTGTTTCATTTAATTCTGCTATGTTGAAGTCAGCCCGATATGGGGAAAAACTGATAGAAAAACTGATAACAAGTCGGAACAAGAACTAATAGGTCCATTATCTACAAACAAAGGGATCTCAAGGACCCTTTAAAATTTTTTTTGTTTAAACTGCTTCTAACTTTAATAATATTTAGTGTACTGCTTATGGACTATTTATTCTTCATTTATCTTTTTTACATTTAGAAATAGGCTAACAAAGTTTGTTTTAAAACAAAAACCATTGAGAATAATGCTGGTCAACTGATATGCTTCCGCTCAAAAGGTATTTAAATTTGTAAATAATTTTACTTTTAATACTTTGTCAATACGTTGCAGTTTGTATGTTGTATTGTTGACTCAATAATGTAACTTGTATATTCTATTTTATGAATTTGTTGTGAATACACAGTTATTTTATCTCATTCATGTTTGTGATTTTGAAATCTAAACATGTATCTAAATATGTAAAATAAAATGTGATATTTATTACAAGACATCTGTTTTATTCCATACTTGTCCTTAAATTTTCTTTAATGTACCAGGTATCGTTCAAATAAGAAAGAATAATCTATCCATCATCTACTACTATTATAAAATTTAGGTGGTGTCTGTCTGTGCGGCTGCCCACGACTAAAACACTAAACCTATAGAGCCAAACTTAAGCACAAAGATGCTCCACATTTCTAGGAATGTCATAGGCCTATTCACTTCCCTGAGTGCCTCTCGGGCTAAGCCCCTTGGATGTCCAAAGTTTTGAGGTGAGGTTTTCAAAAGTAAAATATTAATTGGTCTCCATGGAGGCATGATGAAATTTACAATGTTTACCTTTGCGTTGATATTTCAATGTAAACGAGCAGAACTGCCAAATCGCTTATTTTAGAATGCTTATTTGCGGAAATATATGCTCGGGCTTCAGCAGCTATGTTGTGCCATTAAACAGCACCACGAGAAGCGCTTGCAGACGTTGAAGTCCTCACAAATTACTCAGTTAACTTTAAAAAACATTTTCATCTCAAGAAGGTTCCAACCCAGGAAAAAATCGTTAATCCTAAGGATAAGTCCTAAGGAATGAAAAATATAAAATGAAATAAATAAATAGGAATAAAAAAGTCCTTAATCCAGGTTGAATCCTTAGATTCAAATTTATGACTATCGTGTTAATTTTCTTCTAAAAATTCATTTATATGCGTAAAATGCTTTAGAAAAAAAATTATTCAGAGATATTTACCAGTTACCTCTCACTTAAAATTCTACTATTACCATAGATAAAAGGAGTATAGACACCTGTCTATACTCCTTTTATCTATGCTATTACCAAAAAATTAACACAATATAAGCCTACAAAAATAATAAATGAATAAATTAACATAAATATATTTTCAATCGGTTAAGAACCAAGCCGATAATACAGTGTGGTAGAAAAGTCCCAGAACGGTTAAATATTTTAAAAAATAATGCAGATAGAGCCAAAATACTTGGTACAAAGTTACAGGGCATAAAACTCTATTTTAACACATATTCAATGATCCAATAATTCTTCAGGGGGACGGCCCACAAGGAGTCGGAAGAAAATCTTAAATGGAAGCATAGGTCAATATGCACATCAAATTAAAGGTTTTTTTAGTAGAATACAATGCCGCAAACCGCACTTCAAAAGGTTGATCCTGCGCAAAATGGCAGATGTTCAAAGATTTCTTCTTCTTGAATCCGCCATTTTGAATCTTTGAACGACTGCCATTTTTTACTCAGACATTCTTTTGAGCTTGAATTTACGACATCGTAATCTAAAAGTGAAGACCTTTAATTTGATGTGCATATCGACCTATTCTTACGTTAACAATTTTCTTCCGATTCCTAGGGCTGTGCCCCCTGAGGAATAAGCGTATAATAGCAATGTAAATTGAATGAATCTTTGAACAACTGTCATTTTGCGCAGGATCGACCTTTTGAAGTGCGGTTTGCGGCATTGTATTCTACTAAAAAAGACCTTTAATTTGATGTGCATATTGACCTATGCTTCCTTTTAAGATTTTCTTCTGACTCCTTGTGGGACGTCCCCCTGAAGAGTTATTGAATCACTGAATATGTGTTAAATAGTAATATGTATGGCAATATGTGAATATATGTGTCAATAATATGTAGCAATATGTGAATATGTTTAAAAAAAAAACTCATCCAGGCTATAGAGTGGCCTTCCTACTAGCCATGCCTTCAACACTTTATCAAACTTCCTGGTTTCAAGGTTCTTAATTTCTTGGGGCAAATTGTTGTTAATCTTGAGCGCTATGGTCGGGAAAGCATTTTTTAGTTTTAGAGAGCCTGCAAAAAGGATGAAGGTCTATTTCCTGATTATGTCTTGTTCTGTACGTATGGAATGTATTTCTGGTCGGAAAATTTTGAATGATGTTTTTTACATATGATGCACATAGGAGAACAAAGTGGCTGTAAACTGTTACAATTTTGGTTTCTATAAAAAGAGGCTTGCAGTGGTCCAATCGTTTTCTAAAGGTTATTATCCTGATAGCCTTCTTTTGCTCTAGAAGAACTTCATGGCAGTTAGGCGCATGCCCCCAAAGCAGCAGGCCGTAGCTTAGCACGCTATGGAGGAGAGCGTGATAGACGACCAGTAGGTATTGTGGTGTTACCAGCTTAGACAACTTTCTTAGCAGACACACAACTCTCGATAACCTTCTGCATCGTGGGCATGGGCACAATCACCCATATATTGAGGGCAAAATAAAATGGCACACATTGAGCGGTCACCTTGTGCGCACAAGCACCCCTGAGTAGGGCCGCTTTAGAATTTAAATTAAATGTTATTTAAATAGATTTAATTGAAAATCAATTATGACAAATGGAAATTCGTTTAGGGCTGCAGGTTTGCCGTGTTTAATATTTTGTTAGGAATTCAGCAATTGTATAGCCTATTTAGAGGGTCGAAAATGTGAAAATTCAATTTTTAAAACACCCCTTAAAACTTCTTCACCATAGTCCAATAGTTTTCGTTTTGGTCTGGTACGCAAACTTCAAGACGCGTTTGGTTACAGCAAAACCATAGTAATCTGTTTTATAATCAACGCACCTACTCATTGCATCTTTTATTTATTTCTGCTCTTTGGCTGCATGCTCCATTGATATTGATTTAATTTGGACTTTTTCTGTAATCGGATTGTCTCGTCGTTGTTATTGTTAGTTGTTGTTGGTTGTAGTAATGTAGTAATATGTTCAGTTTCAGTTGTTCGTCTATCTACCAGTGTTTCCATTTGAGGGATAAAAATCCCTTTCTAGGGATATTTAGGGCCTTCGAGGGATTGAAAAGGGATTGAGGGATAACTAGGGATAATCAGCGAAATTGAATGATTTTTTAGATTTTCTAGGGATTTCAGGCCTTTGACATTATAAAATTGAAATATTGATAAAATAATACATTATGGCTGTATTTCAACAACGTTAAGGACCTATTTTGGCTAATTTTGCAAGGTATTGATAACACATTGATTATACTATTTTTTCCCTAGGTTTTGGTAACAAATCTATTGTAGCACAGATAAAAGATACTCCTCAAGCTAACAGCTAACACTGCACGAAACAAGCAAAGGGCTGGAGTCGGTCGGTGGAATGGAATGGTGGATCTAGATTACTGTAATTTGTTTCTTAGTAGCCCTGTGCCCTGTGTCAATGTCGAATATGTTTGTTTTCGTTTTGATTTTGTTTGCCGGTGATTTCTGTGATGTTTTTTGCTTAGTAAGTAACTTGGTGTAACCTTTTCACCAAGGTATGGTGGCCATGTTTGAAAAAGACAATTAAGTTTGAAATTTGGACACTTGAATAATATTTTTGAAACAGTTGTAAATACTTATGAATACAAATTAAGTTATTAGTTTATAAAATTTTAAAAATAACTATTTGTTTAATTTTTTAGTTAATTAACTTGTTTTGTACAACATACACAGTTTTTAATCACGGCTACCTACAATTCCAGGCCGGAGGCGGCCTTCGAAGTGGCAACGTTGCAAGTATAGTGTTGTAAAAGGTGTTTGATTGGAGAACGCTAAGCTAATGATATTTATATATATTTTTTTAAGAATACGAAAGCTTGGTTACTGGGCTATGAAAATGTTGACTCCACATTGAATGTACAGAAATAGATTTTCAATTTATATTGCTTTGGTTTTCGATTCTATATTATATGTTTTATTTTCATGTTAACAGTGATGTTAACTTATAGGACGTCTTGCGCTAAACAATACTATAGATAAAACATACTCCATGCAATACTCGTATATGCAACCTAAGGGAGTATGTTTTATCTATGATGCAACGTTACCAATTCTACTAGGCCGCAGCCTGCCTGGAGTTAAAGATGGCTGTGGTTTTAATGGTACAAACATGTTTTTTATATAGTATTACTTTATAAATAATATGGGATAACCAGTTACCATATTTTAGGTGGCTATACATGATATTCATTGGTAAGGTATTGCTGCAAAAATAATAAGTTATCTAGATTTGATGAAGAGGGATAATTGGAGGGATTATTAGAACACGGACTAGGGATAACTAGGGATTTTTTGACGTTGGCCTAGGGATATTTTTTTCTTGCGGATGGAAACACTGCTATCTACCTTGTCTTACATTAATAGCTAAGGGACTAAACTTATGTTTTATCTATGATTATAATATAAGTGAAAATATTATAAAACCTAAGCACTGCCTGTTCTAGTGGGGCCTTGCTGAGTCTGGTCAGTTTGTTTTGTTTTTGTTATTGTTAGTACTTTGTAGTTAAGTTCAAGTTGATTGAAATTGAGGTTAGTAAAATTAATATTTCGAAATTTCACTCAAGCACTCAAGTTTTAGACAGTCATAACTTAGCTTTCAAGTGTTACTTTCTATATTGTGTGTGTCTATATTGTTTTCATTTGGCATATATTATTAACAGGTGAATCCTATTATTATGATTAGCTTCGAACAGGTTTTACAGAACTTGGTCAACCATCATTGTTAAACTAAATTTTAGGTTCACTAGGTACTATTGATTGCATAATTTAGGCAAGTCAAACATAGGCCTATGTTGAAAATTTAGCTCAATAGCCTACTTAGTCGATGCAAATTGCAAATTAATCTATTGATAAAAGATTGTCTTTTTATACAATCTCTCTTACAGTAAGTTAAAAGTCAAAATAGGCCTAGCCTAAGTTTAAGTAACCTAGGCCTAGGTTTAAACAGTTTTCTTTGAGAAAAAACGTTAGGTTAATCAGCCAGTTCAATAAAACGTTGCATCACATGCATCCTTATAGCCGTGTTTAAACAAAGCCAGTTGGTGGGCAGGCTACCTGACTCAGGTAACTGAGCTTAAAATGCACCCAAGTTAGAGGGATGTAATCTGTCCCGTCAGTTTAACCTGCTGTAACTGCTTTTAAGCCACATTTACACGAGGCCAGTAGAGCGGCAGGTTACGGGGGCAGGTTAGGCCTTGCCTTTAATTTCAAGTAACCTGCCTGCCAACTTGCCTTGTGTAAATGTGGCTATAGGTATATTTATTTATTTATTTATTTCCTCTCAACGGTTACACCATTTTACAAATACATAATTTGTTACATGTTGTGTCTAATAGTCCACAAAATATTAAGCAACAGTAAGTAACTACTCTAACAATAAATAAGTTATACAATAAATAACAAATAATATAACAATAACAACAGCATAAAGAGATTTGTACATATTTACAATAATAATATCAACAATTTTGACTAGATCAAGTAAGTGTAGTGCTTGACATTACAAACATGGATGATATTGACAAACAAAACAATGAAGAGATGTGTGAGAATAGTTAGATAAGGAGCTGGTTGATCTTCGACCTGAAGACGTGACGCCAAAAAACGCCAAAAAAGTCGACATCAGCTCCAACTTTGCTCCCTAGCCGGTGTAGGCGAGATATCCCACTGTTGTAAGCATAATATGTTGGGAAAAACTGCCGTTTGAATATGGATCTAGAGCGTGTTCCTCTTGGTGCAGTGAAGTTGATGCAACTAAGAAGTTCTGGGCAGTCCATGAGGCCATTAATTACTTTGTATAAGAAGAGAAGATCCAGAAACTTTGTCTAATGCGAAGAGGTTGAAGGTTATACTGTATCTCCAGGTCACAAACTGGGGTTTGGGAGTATTGATAACAAAGTTTGAATCCCAACATCTTGATGAAGTGTGTTTGGACTTTTGCAAGCATTTCCAGATGCCCCACTTGATAAGGTGTCCAAATTGTTGAGCCATATTCAAGTATCGGTCTGATCAGTGTTTTGTAAAGGACAATGAGAGAGTGAGGGTTGGTAAAGTCCTTTGTTGATCTATGAATAAATCCCAGTAATGAATTTGCCCTGTTAATAATGTTGGAAATATGCTCCGCTGGATTTAAGGTTGGTGTAATGATGATCCCAAGGTCCTTTACCTTATTCACCCTCGATAGTTTTGAGTCTTCAATATAGTTTAGTCAAAACCATGGGTTGTGGTCCTACGACAAAATGACATGACTTGACACTTTGAAATAATAAGAGACATTGCATTATTTTTACACCAGTTAACAATGCTATCAATTGAGTTTTGGAGGTCAACATAGTCATCTATTTAGGCTACAATTTGATCCCTCAGTAGTTAGGCACTCATATCAGTTTAAAAAATAATAATTTTGGTTATAAGCGATTGCTTGATACAATATCCTAAACACTTAACCATTAGCCTACCTTTAATACCTGCTGTGACGTCGTTTACCAGAATTTCTGGATATAACTTACTGTGTCAAGGATAAAACTGAAATATTAGGTATGTACATTATTACTACGGTACTTAAGGCAAGATGGCCTTGAGCCTATACTCGGTGCAACACATCAAAATATTCGTCAACTGAGTACAGTGGTCGGTCAACTAGCCAGGCTTTGACTTTTCTTTTAAAAGCGGATGGTTCACAAGTCTTAAATCTTTGGGGGAAATCATTGTACATCTTCAGAGCCCTCCTAATGCGGAAGCAGCTTTGTGTTTTGGACAGCCTGCAGTAGGGTATGTGAAGCTGGTCCCTGATACGAAGGTTGTCACTAAGTATTCTCATTAAGTTATGTGTCCCTAAGTACGGTAGTTTGTTAAACTTATTTGTTTGGTGCTCCTACTCTTTATGGCTAAGATATGATTTTCATAGAGAAAAACATTTCTCTACAAAACGTTGGTCTTGCATTATTCTTAGGATTTCATGTATTTTTTAGAGCCATGCCTTACCTGGATGATGATGATCCTGTCAGATTAAGTGCTTATCTACACCGAGCAAATGGATATACTGTAAGTACTCTTCTGCTATAGGCCTAAAACTAACTTTAAGTTAAATTTTTTAAATCTTTAAATGCTTGTACCTTTTTGGTAGGTACCTACCACTGAAACTAACTTACTTACGTTACTTATAGGATTGCATTTTTTTACTTATGTAGGCTTAACTTACCTAAATTAGACTAACTTATTTCACTAACTTATTTGGCACTTTTGGGGGAAATGCCTATTTCACCCTAAAAAAGGCGTTTGAAAATCAAGAAAAATAATAGAAATCGGTGATTTTAGATGCATTAAAAACTTCTTGGGTAGGCCTACAGTTTCTTAACTGGGCTAGGCTATATGCTAAAATCGATTGAAAATATTGTTTAATAATCAATATTTTTACTATATCAATTATAAAATTAAACTGCCATAACCTAAACTAACTTAGGCCTACCAAACTTGCTGATAGGCTAGTGAAAAAATCAAATAAAGGTTTACTAATCGAATTGATAGTTTCAAGTCGGTATTAGCATACCCCAGTTAAGAAACTGTATCCAACTTCTTTTTACTTTTAAGTAAATGGTAATTTTCTCATTAAGTTATTTAGGCCATTTCAAATACTTTTTTCCCCTTCCAATTTTTCAGCAAACACCTTACTTAGGCCTAACTTATTCCACCCTAAAAAACACAATTAAAATTGTGAAAGCATTAAAAATCCACCAAAATTGGCACACTTGACCGGTAAATGTGTCAATAGCAATATACTAACCTAACCTAAACTAACTTAACCTTGGTTTACCCAAAATCGGTCATTTTGGCACTTTGTTAACCTTAAGCATGGGTTTGGTTGGCTTAGGGTAAGTTAGGTTAGGTTAGGTATAAGTTTAAGTTAGGTCATTATATATTTAATTTGGTTTACCGGTACCCAAAAATGGGTAATTTTTGGCACTTTACTATTTTTCTAAAATTTTCAAACCTGTTCTTGGTAAAAACGGCATTTGCCGAAAAATTGTTTAAAATTGACTAAATAATAAGAAAAACACATAAAAAGTAAAAAAAAAACTAGGAAATTTTCAAGCCCCAAAAATAATTGATTTCTTGTGCTATTCTCAATGTTCAAACGTGATCTTCAGTTAAACGTGATATAGGCCTAGTTGTTTCCCCATAAGTGCCAATGGTAAAGTGCTTAAAATAGTCTACTTTTGGTAGATAAGAACAAAAACAATATAACATAAGTAGTATAAGTTCAGTATTACCATAGATTAAACATACTCCCTTAGTAGATTTCCCATCCTTATGGAAGATCTGAAGCCAATTTTAAGTTACTGTCAGTTCTGTCCGGTGTACTGTAGAGTCGTGTTTTGTTTACAATTCGTTTCTTGCTATTTCAGTAATTTACAACCTCGTGTAGCCAAATAAAACTATCTAATCAATAATCATAAACAATAACTTGTCCACTAGCTAACCAAACAGTTAGGCACAAATCATGAGAAACTAACCCTAAAATAATATAAACACAGTGTAAAGAAAACACCACATCTACAGTACACCGGACAGAGCTAACAATAAAAGCTATTCCATAAGGATGGGAAATCTACTAAGGAGTATGCTTTATCAATGGTAGCCTATCATCTACTTTCCTGATAAAGGTAACATTCATTGTTATCGATAGTTGTTGTATATATTGATACTTTTGTTTTCCTTTACGATCTATAACTTATTCCTTCTGCTTTAACATCTTTAAACTTTCAAACGCATTTCAATCACAAATTGAAAACTTTTCTTTTTTAGGCAAAAATAACTTAAAAGGCCTATTGATTAAGAAATAAAACTGTTCTTAAAACTTAACGTACAAAAGTTTTAAATAACCAAACTCGTACCATTTCAAAACTCTGCTAGATGACAGAAAATGCTTGTGAAGAATAAAACTTGGAATTTGAAATGTGACAACAAGTTTGGTTGGATAGGTTAGGTTAGTTTAGAACTGTTTTGTTTGGATATTACTAGCTGTACCCGCGGGCTTTGCCCCGTTTTACTTCATAAGTGAGCTCGTTCGCATGGCTCAATCACGTCCTGGTTGAAGTTTGTTCGCTACGCTCACTCACCTTTTGGTTGCAAATTAGCTGTAAATTAAAAAAAAATAATAGTGCTGCACCCGTTTGGTAATCCTTGTAACTATAATGCTATTGCACATCATAAAACTGAACCAACTTGTTTAATTGAAACAGCTGTTAAGATTCATTAATTCCATTTAAATATGAGTACCTATTCATTAGGTTAACATGGGAAACTCCAGAGCCACTGGGGCGGAGCCCGAGAGTCCGATCAGAATAAAAACAACTTAGTTTTCCTATTTAATGCCTAAAGAATCAGTGTACCAAATTTCAGCCTCCTAGGTAAATAGGAAGTGGGAGAATTAGTGATGAGTGAGTGAGTCAGTCAGTCAGTGAGGGCTTTGCCTTTTATATAGATTTATTGCTTGTTGATGCCGAACAATATTTATTTACTTGGTTGTCTTGTCAGCTGATATGTTTCAATTCGTTCAATATATCGGATAAAAAAAATAAAATATCAATAGCCTATAGTTTAAAAAAATCATCAATAATAACGAATGTTCCCTTCAACAGGAAAGTACCAAAATCTCGAAACAGAGAGCAAACTGGTTACACTATTTCACTTAACTTATAAATGTTTACAATTTGATATCAGTTTCATAGACCATGTCTGTAATTAAAACTTAACTTAAAAATAAGTAATTTAAGTTGTTTAGGTATAATACAATATTTTTTCATAATAAGAGTTTGCCATGTAGGCCTAAACTGTTTTGTACTGGTGCTGATTTATTGTTTAACAGGCTCCCACCAACCGTGAAGAGAACCATTCAGATCCTCTTTACTCCAGAAGCCCTCTATGCAAGCCAGAATACATATACACTAAACCATTAAGAACACTATTTGTACATCCGACTGACGAAGATGATGTAAAGTAAGTAAAATGTCGGTGTAAGAAATATGTTGGTTTTGTAGGCCTAGATGCCGTTCAAAAATAAATTGTTGATTTAATGTGTTCCCTAGTTGAAAAAAATTAAAACAACAATCCAGAGTTAGAATAATTTAATGGTAAATGATATATCCATATTTCGTTGTCGTTGGTTATATTTATTGTTGTTTGTTCCTTATGTTGTTTAGACTATCATAGTTCCTAACTCTATCACACCTATTGAGCCAAAATGTAATTGACTAAGCAATGTGTATTTGTCAAGGTATATCCTTGTATAAATTGACAATTTACAGAATCCCTGATGAAAATAACATTTAAAATTGGTATTTAAGGGCCTATTTTAGATTTAGGAGAAGTGTCAAAGCAAAACAATAGTAGTTTACACAATTGCGAATTGCGTAAAGATAGTGATAACTACACAAGTAGAAAATTTAAGGTACGAGCCTTAGCGAGTGTCGTTAACACTATTTATGCGGGTTGCGTACACTACTTACAACGACAGTACTTTAATTACTAAAAATCACTACTCTTTAAAACTTCTAAGAGAGGTTATGTTTATTTAGTGGTGCAACAAAAAATTGTACCAAACACTAATTATTGCACCACTCAAGAATTAAATTGGCCTGAATAGCTGAGTAGTTGAAGTTCAAATCATTACAATTTTACTTCTTCTCTCTCAATCCTTGAACCTAGTTGGTCCGTTACCCGTGTTCCTTAAGAGTAAAACTATGCTGTTATGAAAGTTTAATCAATGCTGTTGTGAGAAACTTTTCAATTCTAAGAACTGAAACTGAACTGAAACGGCTACTTTAAATAAATAGAAAACGGTTGTAGGTAAATAAATATTTACAGTATAGTACAAATTAACGTTATTATTGTTGCAGCTTGGTTGAAGATGTAGATGTAGAGTCAGTGACTGCGCCGTTGGATCCACCGTATGACCAAAACAAGGCTATCAATGTGATGCAGGAGACTGAGAGACATGTGACATCACAACACCAGGGACAGTTCAATCCTGAGTGGGAGGACCAGATACCAAAGTATGTACATAGATGTAAGGTTGCTACTGGCCATAAAAACCTTGAAAATGGCAAACTTTGCATAAGGTTATGTGACCATAAAAAAGTGTGTGAAATTCTCCATTGAACCTTAAAATCGTAAATAATGATTCAACCATTGGTGGCCCCATCGAGAAAATCTCCCAGGAGAAGTTGTCATCGCCCCTGTCAAACCGCACTCAGGGAGGCGTCATCATTGTCACTTGCGATTTGGTGGTGCTGAGGGTTGGAAAAAATTGTGTCCCCTAAAGATCCTTAATTAGATGTAATCTCATATCGGAAAGTAATAAATTATCTGAAAATAAAAAAAAAAAAAAAATTGGGATCAGTGTATCCCTACTGTACTTCTAGTTTCAATTTTCTCTCTAATAAAAAATAAATTCTTATTGGAAAGGATTAACAGCAGGCTTACCTAACTAATTGAAATAGATGAAAAACACAAATAAACACATAACACATGGAATTTTTGGAGCTGCTAGCTAGGGGTCTGCGGTACAGAAAATTTAAGGTCGGTACGGTTCGGCATGGTACAATATTTTGTACCTCGGTTCTCGGTACAAAATCGGTACGGTACGCGGCTACCCGTATTTTTGCGGTTTTCTTCTCAGAACTGTATCTAAACCATAATTTTTAACTTTAATACTTAGACATTACTATGAAAATGGATATTATCCTACATTCATGGTTTTTTAACAACAATTACTGTACCGCATATTATTAAAACAAAACCTTTTACTACTACGAGGATTGTGTCAAGAAAAATCACAGTTGAGATAAAGGCTTTACTTATTTTACTCTGAGATACTTTGAATAGCCATGATAAAGTAGTTTAAAAATAGGATAAGAGTTTTTATGAATAAACATGTTTGAAACATTTATTGACAAGATAATTTCACAAAACTGGTAAATTATTTCCAACCAACACAATGTCTAGTTGTTTTTTTTTTTTTTTATTTTAAAAACATATAAAAGCATTCAGTAGAAGACAGTGTAGTTTTGCCAGCTGTTCACAGCAGATGACAATGAAAAACTGGAGGTTATGATGAAGTAATGGCAAAGACCATTTTTTTTTATCAGCTTCAAAACTAGTTAAGTTATAAGATGGATACAATTCTTGCAAAGTTTTTTCTGAAACTAAAATTTGGATTATCACAGAGTAAGATTTGATGTTGGGCAATTAGACTTTATAACTGTGTAAAAGGTGTGTATCCCTGAATTTATAAATTGCATTCTACACTTATTCACTGCCAAACATAATTCAGTAGAACCTTGATGAACCGAGAATTACACTAGCCTACATAGCTTCATTACCCCAAGTAAAATACCAAGATAATTTTTATAATTGTATTTGAATCGTATAATCTTAGTTTGTTAAAAATGGATTGTATGTTCAACAATAATTGCAGTCCATTAGTGTTAAGCAGTATGGTCCCAAATTATTGTTTTTGATTTTGAAAAATCACAGTTCATTTGACAAAATTATAGTTGAAGCAGCTCAATGTCAAGTGACGCTTGTGCAATAGTTTGTTTACATGCTTTCTCCAGACCACGGGGGAGGGGAGGGTCTGATAAGCCGTCTATTGTTCACCCCCAAGAAGGTCCGACCCTCATTAGTGCCGCTCGGCTGCACTCAGTGGGGAACCCAATACCACAAATCAATCTTTTAAATGAATACAAATATTTGGTAATAATTGTTTTATTAATATTCACCTTGAAATTTCAATAAATTTGGTGTAAAATTTGACAAAAATCTGCCATTTGGTCCGATTATTAATACAATACCAAATACCAATAAAGTAGTACCGTACATTCATTGGTAATTAAATAATAGGTAAAAATTTACCGATTTTCGTCAAGTTTTACCACCTGCTGTGCGCTATGTCACAAAAGCTGATAACGACATGGGTGATTAGTAACCATGGCAACTTGTCGAATGCGTGTTGAAGGGAAACCCAAGAAATAGAAGAACAAAGAGAAAGAATGACGTTGTTATCTTTATACCCTTTTTACAATTTCCGTTATTGTTATCTTTATGTAAGATTTTATGATTATGTTTTATAGGTTTATAAAATAATTCTTTTTAACTACGGGAATATCAATTTATAATTTATCAACTTGCTTATCTTCTGAAACAGCAATACCGGATGCATAATAAAGGCCAATGGCCTAAAATATCACGATTGTGCAATATTGTATTTTGATGTTGAAATTAAAATCACGACAAAAGTTTGTATATATCCATGGTCGTCAATAGAAAGATAAAATATCCATAATAAATATTTAATTTATAAAATAAGATTGTAGATTAGTTACAAGTTTTATATGTAGCCATAAACAGTTTTATGGCAGTAGGCAATGGCCAGCGGCAAATTCAATATTCACGAAAATACTGATTAAGTTAGAGATAACATTTAACAGTCATCATAAAACTATTATTTTTATGATAAAACAGAATTGGGGAAAGTCGTAAAGAAATAAAAGTGATAAAACTCAACAGTTCTTGGAAGTACTTCAATACAACAATTATTGTCATGATAAAATGTTAATGGATTTGGGACTGCTAATGGGTTTTTTATTGCATCATCACGCTAGTAATAAATTATGAAGATCGTAAACAAACATCTGATAAGACTTTTATGTGCTCGGAACCAACTGCCGTTGACTACGATAGTAAACTGAAAGTAATTTATTATTATAATAGGCTGTACCGAACCGAATTTGTACCGTGTAAAATGCTGTACCGAACCGATGACGGTAATTAAGCTTGTACCGTACCGTACCGACTTTTTCGGTGCACCGCAGACCCCTACTACTAGCTTATTCTTCAGTGGTAAGAAGTCTTTCCATGAAGCCTACTTGTGGGTCCTGGCCTGCTGTTTTACAGTAACATGATGGTTTTCATAATATGTTTAAAAAGGTATAAATATGGAACATCAATAAATTCTTTAATTACCATGTCCTTGAAACTTGTTTCATTTTTCGTTACCGTAATGCTGAAACACTAACTTTCTGTTTGAATGGAATATTAAGGTTTTTTTTGTAGTAAAATTATGAATTTTGAGAATATTTCCTTTATTCCCAGGGAATTTCATCGATTTAAAATCCAAGGAATTTTACATCACTAACTTAAACCATAAAGACAATCTCCCAACCCCCCCCCCCTTTGTATTCTTTTGTGTTTTATTAAAGTTTGTTATTATTTTTTTATTAAATCAATACGATAGGTAATTTAAATAATTCATAATAAATCGGACATGTTTTAGGCACACATATTTGTCTTTCCTTTATTTTATTATATTCATTCCAAAACTTTAACTTATTTTTAGCTATTATTATTATTATTATTATTATTAACCGGGCGAGGCCCCCGGCGCAAGGCCTGGAGCGGCTGCTCCACCCTAAGGACGGCGCTGTGTCTATGCTTTCTTATCATAATCTTATCACAAATAAGATAGTTTCACTAATTTATTAATTTTTCCAGGATAAATTGGTCCAACATGCAAGCTCGGCTGTTCAACCGTGTGATCAGACTGTTACACAACGATCGTCTGGCCAGGCTGGCCTGCGAGGGTGATGTCAACGAGCCTGTGTGTCGACGCATTGCAGTGGACAAGACGGCCAGGCGACTCAGACAGACTCTGGCCTCAGTCGCGTGGAACATCAAGTACACTCAGTGGCTTCATAACGTCCTCATGGACTACCTCCCGACAGATTATCTAGTGTCGTACTTGGACGCCTTACAGGTATCAACTGCTCCTTGATCATGTTGAGTCTTTTTTTCTTGTTTACTCCAGAGGCATTTTCATAGGGGTTATTTTCACAGAAACATTCTGCAGAGGTTGACACAACAAATTAGATTTAGGAATGAAAATCTAATTTTATGTTATTTATTGAAATAATATACTATGACTTATATTCAGGATTAGAGCTGAAGTAAACCTGTGGAGATGAATGTGCAGCCTTGTCATTCTCATTCTTAAAATGACATAATATTTTTTTTATTTTGCAATATTAGTCACATAATCAAAACGTATTACATCAAGAAAGCAGGGTCAAATTAAAGTTATGAGATTAGAAGATATTTTTGATAACTGAAACTTAAAACGTCCATGGAAAGTTTTATGGGAACCAAATGATACCAATTATTTTTTTTTTTTTGTTTTGTAGTTTTAACCTTGATGAAAAGTTTGGGTGGGTCGTTTATATTAACTTACATAGAATCTAAATGAATGATGATATTGTTTTTTACATATCGTTTTATAGTCATAAGTACCTATAAATTTAGCACTACCTACATAAAAAAGGGAGTGTCTGAATTAAGGCACAAGGGTTCGTTAAATGCTTGCTAATCCAGCATCCGATGGTCTGGCTCTTTTAATAACTGACTAAGGTTCAAAACAATTTTTAGTATGATTTTTTAAGGTATTTTAGCATGTTTGGCCGAGTTGGGAGCAAACAGTACAGCTCCAGTTTTTCTCTTAACTGCTCAAGGGCCTTTTTCACTTTTTTAAAATTTTAGCTTTCAATACCCCTACTAAAAAAGAGAAAGCACAATAATACACTGAATAATGGCCCGTCAACCAACGATTAATTTTTGACGCTCTAAAATGTTGCGATTATTTAGCTAGTTCAAGAAATCCGGCATTTTCAATAATCCGGTACTACAAAATTACCTAACATGCTAAGCGTCTAATGAATGTTACGTGTTCAAGAATTCTATCTTATCTTGTCTTGTCTAACAAGGGCAGGCCAAGTCCATAAAGCACTTCATCCAAGTTTCATTGATAGACCCTACAATTCAAGGCATCCGATGAAAGCCTGTAGTCTTCCTATTAGTTCCTCCTCGGGAAGATGTCTACCTCTTACAAAATGGCCAATGCTAGAGTTATCCTTCTAGCATCAGAGAGCTTATCACAGTCATAGAGCAGGTGATCGGCTGTCTCCTCTGATCTATCGCAATACCTACAGATCGGTTCACCATCTAATAGGACCATCCGTCGTAAATGTTTTCTGAATTGCCCATGGCCAGTTATCAGTTCCACCATTAATTTAATTCTTCACCTGTCTAGTCTCAAGAGGTCAGAGGCAACCTTTTTGGAAGGCCTAAACAGAGTAAGCTTGCTAACCCTAAGAAGGGGAGTATCAACCCAACGTTTACGGTGCTTTTCATTGGTCCATGGCGCAATAGAAGAGCATGGGCTTTTTTGTAAAATGCCACAGAAGGGTTGTGGACCTATCATTGTTGTCGCAGAGGCAGCGTTTGCCAGTATGTCTGCGGCTTCATTTCCTTCAATGCCCGAGTGTCCAGGCACCCAGCAGAGCGTAAGCTCATTCCTCCTACCCAGTTCAGACACAGAAGCATGGGAGTCCCACACGAGCCTTGAGTTGAATTTGTATGAGTTTAATGCTTTTAAAGTAGCTAGACTATCAGTATACATGTTAATAGTTTGTCTCTGATCTCTTTGTTAAGATTTTCTCGAGCACAAACCAAGATAGCTGTGACCTCTGCTAAAAAAACTGTCGGGTACACTCCTATGGGAAGATTAACGCCAGTGTCTTCTTTTTTCCAAAGCACACCTGCTCTGTTGCCCCCTTGTTTGATAGTCTGCTACTATCACCTCCATACCCCCCTCACCTTCAAGCACTAACTTCGGTGCCACCCTATTTAGCCAGTCAGAGGTATCAGTATTAACACAAGTGACAACAAGAGCACCCTTCTCATGGTAATTTTTTTTAAACTGATGTGGGAGGTTGGCGCCGTAATCGCCAAACAACACCAGCTCCATCAGTCTGTCCTGCAAGAAATCACATTCCTCAGCAAAGAATCTCGCGTCAGGATAGGCTACTGTGCTACTGCCAACTTGTGACCTTCAAGGTCTCTATAGCTGACCACACCTGCAACGGATGCATCTGCTGATTGGTTAGATCTTTGTTTCTTTTTGAGAGGATTTTGAGATGACCTTGGGTTCCCATCGGGTCCGGTTCTGCGCAATAGTGAAACACCAGTACCTTCACCTGAAGAACCCAAGGACTCTCGCTTCCTCTTTCTCCATTGTTTGTTGGGGACCCGCGTGCCTTCCGCCGTTTTCCTTTCTTTAACAAACAATCTATGTTCAGTTCTGGTCATAGCAGTTAAAACAATCTCTGAATCGAACGAGGTATCACCGACATTGCTGGTGTCTAGCTGGTTGTTTCGGTCTGCGTCTAACCTGTGACAAAGCTCAAGGACATCAGTCGATGATTTGGGTGGAGTTCTCGCTGTCAGGGAGCTCTTTAAGAAGATCTCTGGCGTATTCACGATCTCCATTGCGGTGTTCTGCACAAAACCATTAATATTCTAAAGCTGACAGTTGCCCTCCCCAGAATCCATGGGCAAGTCCCTCAAAAAGGTGGAGTGGGATTCCCCGCTTGAGCAGGTACCCATCTGGGGTAATGTTTCTATTATAGGTTTCTATTATAGTACTTAGTTTTCTTTCAGCCATCTTTCTATCAAAGAAAACAACAAGTTAGCAGTTTGGCAGCCGAACCGTGACCCGTTCCTACGCCTGCCAATGTCCGAGACTGGACCCTTTTGGGGTTGAACACCTCATCGTCTTCAGCTCAATCCTGTTACAGCTGCACAAGTACCTGTAACAGTTAGTTGGCATTTACATAAAGCCGTCATTAAGAATTGGAAGGTATTCATTCCGTCACAGGATTTTGAGAAATTATTATTTGTTGCCCTTTTTAAGATTGCTGAAAGTACTTGTGTTGTACAGACTGTCAAGTCCAAAGTGCCGACTCTAGTGGAGCGTATGGTCGCCTCAGTTACCACTCGAGCACTGGTGTCTCCGAGTCATGAGCTGCTCAGCATCATTCACAAGAGACCCTGGGACCCTGTCATTGGAGGGGTGTTCAGGCACAAAATGGTAAGTGAGATCTGTTAGAAGAAGCTAATTATTTTAAGCAATTATTATTGTTTTAATAATAAGTTTAGTAGGAATCAAACATGCTGGAATTACTTTTTTTTATTGGTGTCTGTCGAGAAGAAGCTATTGCCGTACTTGGCATGGTAAGACCTACACACGGGACCGAATAATTTTGTTGTTTTGATCACCATAGGCTAAGAACACTTCACGTTCATATTTTTATGTGTGTGTGTCCGTTAATAGCTTGAGTTATTTTGTTCCAATCTTGATGAAATTTGCCATGAATATGTAGGGCTAGATAAACTTGATTATGGCTTGTAAACCAGCAAGGCAGCAAGATCCCGGGTAATGGAATCCAATTGGTAGACATTTTTTTACTTTTTCAAAAAATTTTTTTTATTTTAACCCTTAAGAAAATTGCAAAATTATTATTACAGCCATTATGAAAGGCTTAAAAACCAAATGGTTTTTTGAAGTTTTGTAGAATTAAAGGTTGCAGATAAAGTTACAAAAATACTGTAAATTTAAATTAAAAGTTTCTGTGTCATTCTTATTTCTTTTTCTTCTTTTCCTCTATTTTTTGCACAAGTGTCCTACTCAGTAATCATCTGATCTAATTAATTGAACATCGCCTTGCAGTTGTCTGCTGCACACAAGTCATTGTGCAGACAATGCATTACAGTTCCACGGCAACAACGTAACTCAACCCACAATTCAATAGCTCGTAAAAAGCTTTCGTATGGACAGCAAGATATAAATTATAAACAGTTGTTGGATCTGTTATACTTTGGAAAATAAAAAAAATGCTAAGACCGCAAATGACCTCTAACAAGACAAAGACTTTTTTGTACATCCGCAATTGCGGACCTGTCCTCTGGTCCTGAGCAGGTTTATTTTTTAATTTGTATAATTTTAGAAAAAACTACCGAGAGAGCCGATTTTGGTGATGGTCCCTGCTGGGCCTGGCGCTGGTAACACTTCTCACTCTCGCACTCATCACTGGATGGCCAACCTGTCTGCTCTTGGCACTGTCGTCTGCGTCTACTCCCCTCCAGGTACAGTGGTTTCGTTTAATTTGTTTACAGTTTTGATGACACTATATACTATCAGTTTTTATACGTTTACGATTACACCCTTTTATATAGGGGGAAGGCCTTATAATGTTACTTTTTAATGTTAACTTTGATGCCTTGAGTGCCTTGATGCTTTCATAGAAAATGAAAATGCATCTGTGTACTCTCTCAAGGTATGCTTTTTTTTTAATTCTTTGATGGTTTGTGACAAAAATAAGAATTTTTTATTGAAAAGTATGCTAGAGTAGACCTTATGAAAATAGTTGAACTACATTATTAATTCAGTGTTATTTATATATAAAAATGTGAGGTTCAATCAATTATAATAATTTCTATCATACCAATGTCTTCCTGTTTATTATCAAGTAAATGCAGTATAGTCTTGCTAATCTTAGCCCTGTTAATCTGAAAATCCACCAAATCCTAAGTGGATTTGGGGAAAAGTTATAAGATTAACTATGAAACACTTAATGTGGCAATTTTACCTCCCACTATTGTAAATTTCTTACTATCGGTTCTAGACACATCAGACAATTAATTTCTTTCCACCGCCTCAATATTTGCTATTGTATGACAAAATCCCGCCTAAGTATTTTCAACAATCCAAACAGGGTTGTATCCAATTAGATCCAATAGTAGTGGGACTCTACTGTACTTTACTGTATAAAATGTTTTTGTGAATTTCTGTAAGCACTGTATGTCAATGCAAATTTTACAGCTGACGTAGGAAAACCCACTTGTAAGTTGAAATTTGTTACAGAATGTCGATCATGTTGTGTGTCATATTGTTACTCGTAGACCTTTCAACTACTTGTCATTTCACTCATTGTACTGTGTATGACTTAAGTAGTTAATTCAAGAATATTAGAGTTCTTCTCTTTGTCTTGTTGTGGGTTTGGCCATTTATTGATAAATTCAAATAATTGCAATATGCATGGTGTGATCCACAAGGATTTTTTAAAATCTCTCGATCTTGATGTATGTGAATTTGAATGTTAAATCTCTATAGAGGATGATATTTTTAAGCTCTTTACACACCAACCACTTATTACTTCTTACCAACCATTTTACACTTCTCACTTTTTTTATTATTTAGCACACACAACCCGATTATCAAACCAGAATGTTCCTGTATATTTCTGTATTTTTGCTCTCATGATAGTTATCTATTTATTTATTTAGTGGATGTTAATGCCTTAGAAACTACACATATTTCTTGGAAGGGCATGGTTGAAACCCTGGCTTACATATGGACCAGTTGTTAGATAACCTCAATATTAATGGCAAACAGCAACTAGTTGCAGAACTGATACCGACCAAGATAAAGCAAAAAACCTTCAGATTTTAAAGTCCATAAATAATTTTTGAAGTAGGCTACAATCCATAGACAGATTACTGTACATCCATTGACAGAACACAGGCAATATTGAGAGTAATGTGTGAGTATTAACTTACATTACTCACAATATTGCCTGTGTTCTTGAGGTAATAGTTTGTACTCACTCTATGTACATGTCACCAGCTTGTTTGGCATCTTCAGGAGATTCTATCTTCATATCACTAAAGTATATTGTTTACAAAATATTTAAACACGAGTTTGATATCATGGCTGGGCAGAAAGGGTGATACGCCTGTAGATTCATGACGAAGCTATGTTGCGCAGAGGTCTTTCCTCCTCCGTTTAAATTTCCTGTACTGGAGGTGTTGGTATTTGAGCCGTTTAACAGTTGAGGGTTTATCTTTCATGCTTTATGGCTGGGTGAATTTGTTGATTTCTGGGGAAATATATATAGGCCTATATAGGGTTAATACCAACTATTAGCTCTGGATCGCAGACAACAACAAAAAACTAATTAATACAATTGATGTTATTGAAAGATTGAAACTGGGATAGCAGAAAATATATGTAGCAGTAATTTTCTTTATTTTTTATGTGAATAGATAAATAAATCAGTACCTCATTTGAACATTATGTGGTTGATTGAAGTGTGACATATTATTTACAGGGAGGCTGGTAGGTAAAGTCAGTGTTGCCAACTGTTTGGACCATATGTTGTCCTCTACGAAGGCAAAGGTGGCAGAACTGCACCAAGACTATCCGGACAAACCAATAGTTCTTGTGGGAATCGGCTCAGGAGCAGCCCTTGCCTTGCAGGTTTGAATTTTACAACCCATATTTAAGTAAGGACAATTTTTGCTTTATCCACAAATTTTGGTCAACAACTAGGCAATATTGCTCTGTGGGGCTACACACCTTGTGAAAAAGCGCTAATGCAAAAAAAGCTCTCATGATACTTAGATGCAGGATACCTCTGGAAGGCTGTAATATATTTTTTAAGGAATTCCAGATCTTCGCAAACAATTTTTTTATAGAATTAATCATTAAACAACTTTTTTGGTTGTGACAGGAACTTAAAAGAATACACCTAACAAGATAATGTTAGAGAACATGAGAGGTAGTAACAATTGCTGTGTTGTTGATACAGGTAGCTCTAGGGGAGAAGGTGAAGGCTGTGGTATGTCTGGGATTTCCTATGTACACTGTGGAAGACAACAGAGGCACTCCGGACGATGCTCTGCTCAATCTGACAGTCCCTACACTGTTTGTCACAGGCCAGAACGCAGCCACTTCCACGTGAGTACATTGACCATACCAAAGTATGGCATGTAATTAAATATCTATTAGAGCCAAGCCTAGCCTACAATAGAATACGACTGCGAAGATCGCGGGGCTGCAAAATTTACACTTTCTCCCCAATCATAGAGGACGATGGTGTTTCTGTAATCATGTGAGATATTAAGAACTTGGCTGTGATAGCGTAAAATGATAATATTTGTCTGTGATATTATTATATGTTGACAGTTTGGATGACCTGGAAGACTTGAGAGAGAAGCTAAACACCGTGACATCTCTGGTGTTGGTGGGAGGAGCTGATGACCAACTTAGGTTGACCAAGTCCAAGAAGAAATTGGAGAAAGTCACACAGTCCATGGTAGACAAGTGTGTTATGGTAAATATGACTGCCTCAAGCTAAGTAACTTCCAAGTTATACTTATTTTAACTTCATTTTTGTGAAATCTCGAGTCATCCTACTTCCTACTAATAATGAGAAAGTTTGGATGTATGGATGGATGGATGTATGTTTGCAACAAGTAAACACGAAAAATACTGTTCGGATTGGGCTGAAATTTGGTATGATGATAGCTCACATTCCCGATTAACATATAGATGCATTCTTATCTTAAAAGTCCTTTCGGGCTCCGCCCCAGTGGCTCTGGAGTTTCCCATGTTAACCTTATGAGTAATCGTATTTAAAAGGAATAAAAGAATTTTGTCAGCTGTTTCAACTACACAAGTTGGTTCTATGATATTGAATAGCATTAAAAAGTTTCAAGGTTTACCAACAGGGCGCAGTACTATTATTTTTTTACATTTATGACAACAGCTATCCTATTAAGGCCATAAAGGTAAAATTTTGTTTTTAAAAGGCTTATGTGTAACTATTTTATCAACAGATGTAAAGATCAAAATGTTTCTATTTCGTGTTCTCTTCCCGTTGCAAAGCACGGGTACAACAGCTAGTTTATATATAAATAAGAGGTTAATTGACCATAGTATCGTCTTGTGACTCTTATACCTCCTCTAAGGGCGGATATTTGTATATCTAAATTCCCTTATACCATCCGTCCTTAGAGGTGGTATAAGAGTCACAAGACAATACTACGGTAAACTAACCTCTTATTTATTTTAACTGTGGCCGCTTACTGAGAAACCAAACACTTTTTTATTTCAATAAACCCTTGTCTGTCAGTCATCATAGACTCCTGGTCAGTAAAGAACTATTAAGTCACATAAGCCAGGCAGTGTTGGAGTGAAAATTTAAAAACGTACGTTTTCAGGAAAAGCACTTTGCAAATTATTTTCCCCTTTTTTCAAAACTTTTATTATTTTTTTTATTTCATTAACATTTGAAGTTTCATAAAATGTCCATGGTAACGCAATTTCTTTGGTAGTTTCTTTTTGAAAGAGCATCTTTAGTTGAAAAACACAAAATCCTGTCACGACCATAACGGACGTTTAAATGAATATTAAAAATAGTTAATATTATTTTTATAACTATGTTTTGCTATAAACTAATTTACTTTTATGACCATTATACAATAAAAAGGTCACTGAGCTTTTGGTATATTTGGTCTTTCTAGAAAAAAATAAAAAAACTCAAAAAATTGAAAAAAGCCAATAAAATCTTTTTAAGTTTGTATAACTCCGAAGAAACTTACCTGAGACCCGAAAAATCGTTATGTTTGTATAGAGGTGTGCTTCTTTTGTGTATAAAACATTGAAATATGACGATATTTTAATTTTTGAAATTTTTATGATAGAAATCATAAACGTGATGGTCAGAGACAAGCGGTACGGTCGTGAATTGTCTGGAATAATCTAAACTTTTTTAAACAATCCTTCAATTATCACAATTATTATAATAAAAATATGTGTTTCAATTGAACTAAACTGTTCAATTTACAATTATATTAAAGTTATTGTCACGACCAAACACACTATAATCTATAATGTTGGATTGGTCGTGAAAAAACCCGCGATGGTCGTGAAACTTTGGTCGTGAAATTACGTGTTATTTGGCTCTGTTCTGGCGGTAGCCCTGCACCTAATGTTCGAGGATACAAAGTGGACTTCTACGTTAATCTAGCAATTGAAATATCTTATAAACAAAAATTAACACCATGTCTACTTCATCGAATGACTACGTACGGTCATGGACACACCAAAATTACAAAAAACACAATCTTTCCTTTATTAATCTTGTAATTCCTCCTTTCAACTCGAAACGACCGGCACTACAATCCTGACGTACACCCCGAACTAGTCTCTAAAACCAACTGACTCCATCGACGCCAGGCTTGCCACTGTCGTGCTCCAAAGTTGAAAATTTTTCCCAAATGGTCGTGACGCCAAATCGAGGGACAGACTTATTTTGTCATGGTAGTCAGTTTGTAATGACAATAAAATTATAATATGCTCCTTTTTTGTACGTTTAATAACCATTGATGACATAAAAAAATGGTTTTATATATTTCGGCATGAATAATTAGTCTAAAAACAGTGTGAAAGTTGGAAAATGTACCCTAGGGACACGTCATGGTCGTGAATTTCGAGACTTTAAAAATACGAAAAAAATACCTAGAACCTATTTAAAACCAAATAAATGTGTGTAACATGTTGCCCCCGTCCCAAAAAAAATTAAAACACATAATAATAAACTACAAATCCAGTATCTACGAAGTAAAAGGCCAGGGACATGAAAACGTACGTTTTTAAATTTTCACTCGTTGACTGCATTAATGATGTAGGCGGCTGGTGATCAGCCTAAGAACTCACCTTTGAGCTACCTCGTCCTGCAAGAACAGATATACCGTACAGCTTGAAATTGTGAGAGAGGCTTATGAAATCAAGTTGTGTTATTCCTTTTGAAATAACTATTAAATACAACATAACCAATATTGTTACCTCATTATTAGTCATAACAAGTCATTTTCTCAGTTTCATTCAAATAAAAATTTTCCCTTTAATATAAGAGTTTGAGTTCTAAAAAAAAGAACTCAAACTCTTAGTAGGAAGATTTTTTGAGTTTTATGAATGGGAGGGATTGGCGCGTCTTGGGTGGGTATTTAAAAGAAGCTTGGCATTTTAGGTGGGGATTGATAATCAAATTTAACTTATAAAAATGATTTGAAATATTCATACTCCAGAATTAGATTCAACGGAAAATTCGCTGACTTTAAGACAAGATTTTTTTGGGGTGGGGGTATTTGTTTTTAATATATGTATGTTTATGGGTGTATGTATATGTGTATATATGTATCTAAAACATATATTTGGTTGTGAGTCAGCTATTTTATTTCTTTAGTTTCTTGATTTTAGACTTTTTACTTTTGATTTTAGTCCAGAATTGAATTTATAGTTTTAAATTAAAAGTGTACTGTAAAAAAAAGATGTATGCCAACCACGTAGACGGTTCTATTTTCATTTCATTCATTCATTTCATTCATTCATTCATTTCATTCATTTCATTCATTTCATTCATTTCATTCATTTCATTCATTTCATTCATTTCATTCATTTCATTCATTTCATTCATTTCATTCATTTCATTCATTTCATTCATTTCATTCATTTCATTCATTTCATTCATTTCATTCATTTCATTCATTTCATTCATTTCATTCATTTCATTCATTTCATTCATTTCTTTCATTCATTTCATTCATTCATTTCATTCATTCATTTCATTCATTCCATTCATTCATTTCATTCATTCATTTCATTTCATTCATAAGAGTTTGAGTTGAACTAAATTCCTTTAAATGACATTTATTTTTTATTTGTAAAGAGGTTGGCAGCCTTTTACCCTTGCATGTGGCTGTCCACATTGACCATACCTGTGCGTGGAAGATGTCCAGCGAAGCAAGTTGTGAGCCAGCACAGTGCAAGGGTGAACTGAATTGGTACAAGTTAGCGGGCACTTGGACACAAATCCATGACTTTTCTGCCATGGATCTGTAGCCCTGCGTACTTATATAAGTAAAACAATATTGAGAATTCAAAATAAAAATATCAAATGTTATTCATATGCTATATAACATAGAATCTAAAGAGAACTACTTTAATTTACTGTAATTTCAGGATGAAGTAGGTGACTTCCTTGGAACGCTGTTGTCTCCGGACTACCTTCCTCCCACTAAACCTCGAGTGGCTCACCATGTAGAGCCTCTATATTACCCCAGACCTCGGCCTGTCATGAAGCCTGTCGTGGAACGCAAGAGGAAAATTGACATGATCAGTCCTGACGCAGTGCTACCAGTCAAAAAGGGTGAATTCATAGTTCCTTTAAGAGTTTTTTTTTATTGTCAATTTTCCATTCAAATTTCTTGGTATTGGAAATTTAAAGAATGTGCTTTAAGTGAGAAACAAATCATTTTTGAATGCAAATTTAGCTTACATAAATGTATGTTCTGAGAAAAGTTATTTGCTAAATATGAGATACTAGCTGTTTGCCCGTTCTACGTACGGGAATCTTGTAGTAAGAACAGGAGTTAGTTTGCATATTTAGTGTGCATTTTTCCAGATATGATGGCAAAACTAACTGTTTAGGAATACATATAAACCTTCTCAAATACAATATCTGACAGTTTCAAAGCCAAAACGAATGCTTCGCAATTAAATGTCACCCGATCCTGTTAGTCCATATTTTATCTAACGATGAAAGGAATTGCTTTACAGTATAGATCTATGAGGCATAGCCCTAAGGTAGGCCTGTAATTGAAAGTTACTTTTCACACTGGGTAAAAGTAAAACACTACCTCAACCTCACTACTGTACACTTTATTCGGGTTGAAATTTTTATTAACAATGGTGCTCTTGTCTTTTCCACGAAAAATAAGGACATTAATGCGTTACCAATAGACATACACACACAAATACAGAATTGAGTCCACACAACATTTTGGAGTCCAGACAGAAAATGCAAAACTAAACAGTAAGACATCAATTAAATTTAATAAGCAATAAGGTGCAGTGTTTATAAATAAATAGTAAAAATAGTGATGTGTTTGTATGTAAAAATGATTCTTACTGCTACCACCGGTTCTAAGGAAAAGTAGCAGTACCAAAAACCAAAGTTTATATTTGAGAAAAGAACTGTAGAACTTACGACTAATTCAAACTGTCCTTATAATTAAACTGTATAATAGGTGTTAATCTGTTGGCAAATATATAAATAAATAAATACACAGGCCACAAAACTTGTAACATGTAACGTTAACAACGTAAAGCTTTGAAAACTCACTATGGTTTGCTAAAAAAAAACTTTCACTTGATGTGGTGCAGTACCAAAGTTATTAATCTCCTTTGGTTTTAATTTTTGAAAATCATAGTTATTTCCCATTAATAGCATTATTTGTAAGCAGCTTTTAATGTTAACATATTAATGACAGTTTGAAGAAACCACCTTTATCCAAACAAAGGTTTCTTATTTAAAAGATTACATAATCTCTAAACGATAATCGGTACATATATCTAGCAAACATTCGGAGGAAATGTGACAAAAAACGCATAAATCTGAGGTTTTGTACGTTTGTAGTTTTGTTTCCTAAGTAGGAAAAGTACAGAAATTGTTGTCGAAATGTAAGTAAGTAGAAACCGAAAGTGACACATTGGAAAAGCGAGTTTAGCAACATCTGTTAAGTTAAACCTCTGTTACGGTACGATCACAGCAAAATCAGAAAGATCTTCCAAGATCGCAGCAACATCCACGATCACCCACTGCAGTTGTGATTTTTTACTTTGCACTTTACACAACTGTCCTTGAAGCGCCGTCAATAAGTGGAAACCTTTGTAAGCTACGGTATTGGTGACGATGATTTTAAAAATGTAAGTTTCCTTGCACTAATACAACACTGATTCACGGTATTTTCCCCGGTTATTAAAACTCAAGAACAATCGTTGCACTTGCGATTAATTAAACCGGTTAAGTAAGGCACAACGTTTTTAATCTCACTTGGTTTGGATGTGCTGACAAAACTTGCTCGGAAATGGTCGCGGTATTTTTAAACAACTTTTAATGTAAGCATATCACTGAAAGCTAGAAGTGAGAACTAATCCAAACAGCTGATCGTTATTTCATAAAACGTAATAGTAAACATTGGGAGAAAATTTGACATTTTGGTGGTTCGTTATTTTGTTTTCAAAGAAGCGAGGCCATGTTTTTATAGCCAAAGACACTCTCACCAATCCAGTTAATACAGAAAAATGATTAGAACCTTGATCGGTACTCTAGTTTTCTAGGAGTAGGCCGCGTAAAATGACATTTTGGCGTTACAGACGAAATCACAGAATGGACAATCATACAAACAGACATACAGACAGAAATTGAGATAAGACTCGTTTCGGCTTTCTTAGGTTATTAAACGTAAAAATAACCAAAAATTGCATGATTCTAAGCAATGTACAGACAAAACTGTAATTTTATTTATATAGATTAACTTTGCCTTCACTTTAAATATATTTAAAATGATCGTGTATTTTAATTAAAAATAAATATCAAATGTAGAATGAAAAACAATTTAGTCATCCGTATCTTAAAAAATTTTCAATATCCAAGACATTGCCTATGTTTAACTTATACGAAAAATCTCCTTATTAGAATGGAATAGGATAGATTTATATGTCATTCAGTACTATAATTATAATTATAATAATATAATTATAATTAGGGGTCTGCGGTACAGAAAATTTAAGGTCGGTACGGTTCGGTACGGTACAATATTTTGTACCTCGGTTCTCGGTACAAAATCGGTACGGTACGCGGCTACCCGTATTTTTGCGGTTTTCTTCTCAGAACTGTATCCAAACCATTATTTTTAACTTTAATACATAGACATTACTATGAAAATGGATAGTATCCTACATTCATGGTTTTCTAACAACAATTACTGTACCACATATTATTAAAACAAAACCTTTTACTACTACAAGGATTGTGTCAAGAAAAATCACAGTTGAGATAAAGGCTTTACCTATTTTACTCTGAGATACTTTGAATAGCCATGATAAAGTAGTTTAAAAATAGGATGAGAGTTTTTATGAATAAACATGTTTGAAACATTTATTGACAAGATAATTTCACAAAACTGATAAATTATTTCCAACCAACACAATGTCTAGTTTTTTATTATTTTTTTTATTTTAAAAACATATAAAAGCATTCAGTAGAAGACAGTGTAGTTTTGCCAGCTGTTCACAGCAGATGACAATGAAAAACTGGAGGTTATGATGAAGTAATGGCAAAGACCATTTTTTTTATCAGCTTCAAAACTAGTTAAGTTATAAGATGGATACAATTCTTGCAAAGTTTTTTTCTGAAACTAAAATTTGGATTATCACAGAGTAAGATTTGATGTTGGGCAATTAGACTTTATAACTGTGTAAAAGGTGTGTATCCCTGAATTTATAAATTGCATTCTACACTTATTCACTGCCAAACATAATTCAGTAGAACCTTGATGAACCGAGAATTACACTAGCCTACATAACTTCATTACTGTAAAGAAAAAATAAACGTTCTTTACTTACTTATTACTTCAAAATATACTCTTTACATTAATTGATCATTCCATCACTAAAATCGCCTCACACCTTTATGTAATGCAATTTGGCTATTCCATATAGGTGTGAGTACAACAAAAAGTTGCCCCCTGGTGGGGTTTCAATGAATTTAATTTAGTTGATCAGACAACTGAGGACCAATCACAGAGCCGGCAGTGGAAGTAAGATGTTGTATTGAGCCCTGATAATTGTGTATCCCAGAAGTCCGATTTATGGACCGTTGAGAGGTCTGATATGTCCTCCTGAAAGTGCTTTCAATAATCTTAAACGTAACACTTCTTAAGATGCAATAAAAAGTATATCAAATACTCTGAATGCAAAATTACACTCTTTGTTGAAACTTTGTTAAAACATTGGTTTTGACTCTGAAATATTGAAACGATTATGCAAAATATTGATGAACCAATATATAATAAATTTTGTGTCAATTGACTACTTAATGATATTGTACTTTATTGCAATTGTCCGGTTAAGCCGATTACCTTGAAAAGATTAACACAGGAGAATTAATAAAATTGATGAAAGAATAAGCTTTGTGTATTATCACTATAAATAATACAAATATTACAAATAATCAATATTAATATTCAAGTTTCTGCTAAAATTAATAATATTCAAGTTTCAGCTATAATTAATAATATTCTAGTTTCTACTAATTACACTTCAATTTAATGTGAGAGAGTATTGATTGTGGTCTTTTTGACTTTCTTTCCTGAAATATTGACAGCAGAGCCTCGGGAACCTAGGTTTAATTTATTCAATCTGTTTTAGGCTATTAGGCTTCCCAAAGTATGGTATTTACTTACAACTGGCCAGTTGATCTTATGTGCAAAGGGGCTATTCGTAGATCTGTGTACAGCACACTTTGTTGCTCAGTAGCAAACTGGACCAAAACGACTACTGAGTCGTTTGTTTAATTTAAGTTAAAAATATGATTTTTATGGCGTTAATGGAAGCCTACCTTGTAGCCTGTATTGACACCTAACCTTCAACCGGGACAATGCTCTGATTGAAACCTGAATTTGCACCCAATCAAATACTCTCAGTGATCTCTTTATGTATTTTTGAAGTGATTTCAAACCCAAATATTAAAGCAAGAACAAATTGTAACAGTTTTACGTGACAGACAGCTGATTACCCTAACAATATAATTTGAATTTAAGCACAAAACTAATATGAAATTTAACTGGTATAAAAATTTACCCAAATTATTAATATAACAATATCTACAAATGTATCACAGTATGTATTTTAAAATAAGTAAATGGCAATAATTCTAAAGCAATGTGACTGAATTTACACACTAAGACATGAAACCTGCAAGAAACATGATTATACAAATATGAATGTGGACAGATTGGCTTCTCCTAATGATATAAATACAATTTACACAAAACATTTACTTACATACACAGAAGACAATTTTGACGACACATAAACATATAATTACGACACTGTACTTGGGATAGGCTCTACGAAAATGGTCAAATCTGACGAATTTTGCCGGTCGACGTCGAACTTAAAGACTCGTTTTGTTTCAATTCGTAATTTAGTAAATGCTGTTTCACGGTTTTAGATATCAATGCACTCCGGAGATCGAACAATTGATTCGTTGACGAAATACACGTTACGACTACCAAAAGTGATTTTTGCAAATTGAAAAGGAGAATTTAAAGATTTCCGTACATCGCGGCTCAGAGCTTGGTC